TGTTTTGCAAAATTCTGCCAAAAAAATTATTTTTTTGTATAAATACCTGGGCCGCCCCCCCCCCCCCTCAGGGATGGTCTGGTCAATAATGGCAATGTTTTCCATAACTCAGTCATTTCTTGGCGGATTCTTTTCATCTTCGAACTCGGCTGAGATATTGATGAGATCATTCTGTGTACAAAATTTCAAGACAATTAGATGAGGCTTTCAAGAGTTATCGTGTTAACGGCCGGACACACTGACCGAATTTAGAGTGTACTAATTTTTTGAGTACACAAAAACTGGGCTAAGAATCTTATTTTAAAAGAATATGTATGCTACCTGTCAGTAGCAACAGCACAGTATACTTGAGATCCTAACTGCATTGCCGTTGGTATCCACGTTTCAGTGATTGTCCATTTATTACTTCCAACCGAAACAATACTACCTTTGATCATATAAACGGGTGGCATTGTAAAGAAGTCTACTAAAGTAGTTCCACTACATCCTTGAACAACTGTCAATGTAAACGTAAAAGTCTGTCCAACTTCAACTGCTGAACAAGCCGTTAGATTTGAGCTAATCTGAGGCTGTAATGGGCAGACAGCGGCGCCTACAATATGAATTAGAAATTGAATGGGAACGCGACTAAATGCTGTGTATGTTGATGGATCATAGAAATCTTCAACCATCAATGCCACAGCATAATATTGTCCTACTGCTGTACCAGTACTATTAAATGTTAACGTGCAGTTCTCACCATCAAGCAGACCGCCTGGTGCTGACTGGCAGACATCACCACACTCATCAAGTGCAGATGTATTCTGAGCCCAACGACAACTAATATATAAAACCAATATACTTTATACACAGAGATACTGTAAAATATAAAACTACCTTGTATAGTCTCCATCAGCATCGATCACTGGAATCGTTATAGCAGTCAATGTATCTATTGGAACATTGATAGCTAGATACAGAGAAGAACAAAAGTATCTAATAGTGAATACCTTAGGAGACGATTTCTTACGTGAAATTACGGTTGCAACTGGAGGGGTGTTTATAAACCCATCTGGTCTAATTGCCAAATTAACACAAGTTCCAATAGACCAATGAGCAGACGTGCTGTAACAAGTGGCTCCGGTTGTTGTCAATACTGTTGTTCTTCGAGTAGTTGTTCCTGGGCCACCACTACGATAATACCTTTTCTTTTTCCCACTTGATCCACAATTTGATGATTGAAGGCCAATCCAAGAGTAACCTGTGTAAGCTACACAAAATTCAGCACCAGCTGTGATATTTTCAACATGAAAAATTTGTCCTGAACTAGAATCAGCGACGACGCTGAAATCAGTGCAATATTCACCGATGTCTAAGGCAGCATAATTGCCACACGTACTAGCAGCTGTGGTACACACAAGAGTACCAGATCCATTACATAACAGAGGTGATTGATTCACAATTATCGACTGATTACAGAATGTCGACGAACTGTGAGAGCGACTCCATTGATAGGATTGTGTGAACATAACGGCTATGCTTGAAACATTATCTGTATTATTCATTGGTTTCCATGTCACGGTTCCACCATAGAAATGACTCGCTTCAATACAGGCAAAATAGAGGAGTATAATTATTTCTATCATGTTGATAGTTGGTATGTATCTTATATTTAAGAAATGATTTTGACTCTATAAAAATTTGTTACATTTCGAAACTCATAATCAAGTATAGAATGAATATTTTCTGGAAGCTTTCTTATGGATGGATATTTTTCGGGTTGAATAAATTATTCTCTATAATTGAAAGAAGACTTTTAAAATATTGTTGTAGGCAAATTTCGATGCTTCATGAGAATACTATTTTTATTTACTTCAATGGCAAGAAAAAGTGCATCAGTGCCAACGGTGCAATCAGACGGGTACTGAGGTTCAACATTCTCTCAAGGGATCGTAGACACCCACTATATCGCCTTGATGAGGATCAGAGACGCAACTAATAGAAATGGCAGATGTCACAGTATTGACTATGGCAAAATGACAACAATGAAAATTAAATAGTATTGAATATTGGATGAAGATCCAATTGTTTATTCAATGGACAGAAGTATTTGTGAATAAGAAGAACTCCACAAGCAAGTAGCTGACACAAGTTCGAACGATTTTAAGGGCCAATCAAGTTAGATTGATTGTAATGAGCAATCAAATTGAAAGAACAAGGTAATCTTAATTGATAAAAAAAAGTTGATTCTTTTTGGTAGAGAAGAAAAAGTAGTAGTCAGAGAAGAAGAAGAAGAAGAAGAAGTAGAAGAAGAAGATAATTATTGTCATTTTCTGAGTCTAAGCGCGAAAACGAAAAAGTGTCAATATTCAAAATAATAAGCGCGACTATAAGTAACCAGAGAGAACAATACAGAGGAGAAATAAACACACATAGCATAACAAACATCAAGGCAAGATCAGTGACGTTGCTGTGCCGTCACACCCGCCTTCCCTAAAAAAAATAAGTTTAGCTCCTCTTACAATTTTGTTGGTATTAGTATAAAAAATATGATCCATAACCTTTCGAAAACGAACCTTCCACTAAAGCAATTATTAATCTTTTGAATGATTTTATTTTTCATAATGTAATTAATTATGTTTTACAATTGATTTAGTTACGAATCATATGTAGTTAGACAGATAGTATACTTCCATATCTTTATATTTTAGTGAATAAATATCGACTAGTGATGTGAAATCCGTTTGAAAATTTGCTGTATATCTATATGGACTATGTTGTTGATTTACTGTTAGCAAATAAACTAGCGTCTTTGTTTTTCTTCTTTTGCGTCGTAAGAAAAGAAAATGATTCTATTATATTCTGATTACGCTTTGTTTTGTTGTTATTCGCTTTCACAGTTTTCATTTGGTAGCTATCACATCTTTTACAAGATCGAAAAGTAAAAGAAAAAGAAACCTTTTCGAAATTTGTTTTTTCAATTAATATAGAAATTTTTCTGTACTATAGGGGCAATCATCTCAGACGTTTGAATTTCATGTTTTGTTATACACTACGGAAGAATATTGAAAGAAATAATATTAAATTATGTTAGATTAGCAATAGAAGCTGTATAAACTTTGAAAAATATTCTTAAAGAAAGTTCTTCCCTTCTGTTTTTCGGTAACTAAGGAATAATTTAATAAAGACTGTTACCAGGGTCAATGTAAATATGTCTGATAGTAGAGAAAATCTTTCATTAGATTCAAATCATCATATCTTTCTGCACCAAAATCTTTTAAAGAAATTATGGCATGAGATGGCTAAAATGTACTGCTCTCTTCTCCGTTTTCTTGTGTGATGATCTGTTTATGCTTACACAAATAGAAACAAAATTGTGAACATAAATTTTCATATTTTATACCTCTCATGCGCAAACAAAGACATTTCAGACGAAAAGTTTTCAATAAAAAACTATTATTATGTTACCATTCGTCTCTCTATTCAGATCTACTCATGGCTTCGCAATATGCACAATAGTTATAGAAAAAAAAGCCCTTCAAGTAAAAACTTCAGCAATCGCAAGGTGAACATGAGGTGAAACATCATCGAGAAAATAATAAACAGTGTTTCAAACAGAGCTTCGTCGTACTGCTTCATCAACCACGGAATGTAGTTGAGCACTTTTGTTGTTTCAATTAATATGCAACTGATCTCAGTCAATTGATTTTCGCCATTGGTTTTGCTCTCACAAATGAGCCATCCGTTGTTTAAACAAATAGAGCGCAACTAATGCTCACTGAGTCAATTAATTGATCAGCAAATTTCATGAATGTTAAAATATATCGCTGATATATTAGTCAGTGAAACAGTTTAAGTTTTACCTGCACGTGAAACTTCATCAAATGGTAGCTTTCAATTAGTGTCAGGATCGAAAAAATAGTATCGAATGAATTTTTGTATAGAAGTTATTTTAAATAATAGTTACTGTATATTATAATTCAAAGTTCTTGTGTATGTGCAACCATTTTCTTTTTGGCAATATTTATTTCATCCTTTCATCCAGTAGTTTTTGAAGCTATTCTCATAAATAAATAATAACTGATTCCGTTTTAATACAGTGAAACTCTACAAAAAGATTTTCTCTGGTTCTTATTAGACTTACTTAAATAAAATAAAAAGCAAATGAAATGAATAATCTCTCTGGTTATTTTTAGTTTAATTAATACAAATAGCCTTAATTATAGGTATGAGGTGTAGCTTGATACCCTAGTGAAACTACTCGTCAAGCGAGTACGACCTGCCAGCATGAGTACACAAAAGACTCGTTGGAGTACTCGTGAAATTTTCTGTGTATCTTTAGTGTTCGTGTACTCAAGTGAGTACTCGCATTAGTTAACTTTCTGAAATTCACTCGTATACGATAGTCTGAGTACTCAAAGTAGTACTCGCTTCTGTGTTTCGACAAAACACCAATGCACTAACATGTAAAAAGTTAAATTACATTGTATAAAAACAAAATGTGATGAAATCAATTAAAAAACTATTAAAAAACTATTTCGTGGATATGTTCATTCTATCCTTCATTTTTAGTAGATGATTCATTTTTGTCTACATAGCGATTGGATATATCAAATCAATTATATTTCATTTTGTGAACAGAGACACGTACATATACACATACACTTTTAATTTTCAACTGTTCAACTTTCGAATTAAACAAAATATGTCTTTTCATTGTGTACAAACAATGATCTGATAACTTTTAATTTCTAAATTTCAGATAAAATTTTGTTTCAGATTAGTTAAGCTTTTTTCTGGCTACTAAATAGCATCGATGATTCATGTCAGGAAGTTTCTTTTTTTTGTATAAGGATCGCTTTAACATAAATTTGTTTTCATACACGAATCGAATCAAAAATTCATCCAATAATTTTTAAATTAATTGTTCGTGTTACTGAGTATACTGTATCGTAACAAATTTTAGTATTCTTTTTTCTGTAGTTTTTTGTATCTGTGAATTTCATTGCACTAATATACTATTGTTGATAGGTTAACGAAATAGAATTCATTTAGTATTAAAATATAGTGAACAATGTATAGATGAATGAGTAAATCTTGTAAAAAGCTACCAGAGTACTCGGAAGATACGTGGGTAGTACTCATAGAAAACTCAGTTTTATGAGGCGAGTACTCAGTAGTCGTACTCAACAGGTCAAAATCTAGCTCGAGTAATACTGATGAGTACTCAACCCCATGAGTACTCATGAGTACTTTTTGAGTACTACCCTATGGGTACCTTCACTAGGGTAGAGCGTTGAAGCCCGAGCTCTAGATTTCTGCTGAAATCCGTTGTTCTAACGGTTGTTTGAACTTTAATATGTGGATGCACTCAATTTGTTGTTATTATCATTATCAAAAAGCTTTCTCTTTCAAGCGGTTGTCTCTTCAATTGCAAGTATCGATTCTGCGATTGTTATACCAATTTTTGCACTGTATTATTGGAAGATGGATAATAGAAAAAAACTGAGCATTCGTATGATTTTATTTTTTCATGAATACAGATTTAAGAAAAGGCTTGTGACTCTCTATAAAACTAACCCGCTTCTATATGTAGTTTAATTTTAGTTGCTATTACGAAAGAGCGAACCCTCACTATATTTGTTAGCCTCCGTTAGTCGCACAACAATTCTTGCATCTTGGTCGTTCTTTTTCTTATCAAATAGTTTTGGTGCACGTCTACCTTGGTTTGCATAATCACTTTATCTATTTTCACCATCTGCATACACGCCCCAGTATCTTCACCAAAAATCTGGTTTGCTTACGGTAGTCGATCATAAGATAAAAACTTCTCTTGTTTTTATTCATTCAAACTTAAAAGAGAGATTCAGAAAATTTTCCTTTCCATGCAACTCGCATGCCATTGAATCGTTTGGGTTGAGAATTCATCCTGTACACAAATGTTTTTTTTTACTTACTTTAAATCATACTAGAATACAGTGACATAGCCTCTAGTTGAATGATGAATAATTGTTGATTGTATATGTTGTTATAGATACTCAAAATTGAAACGAATATGTTAAAATTACTATTATTGAAACTTACCATCCTTATCCTGTCAATTTGTGTATGCACAATAAGATGTAGCTCTTCCATGCAATGGCTTCATGTTGTTCAACCAAATTTAGCAGCAGGTAAATAATTTCGTAATCATCAAAATTTTAATACCGAGATTGTCTCGTTGATTTTTGAAAAATAACTATGGCGACGTTTGAGTGGTAATGTTTTTGAAATCATCTAAATCCGACAGGGAAATACGGAGTATATCTCCCAGAAAACAGTTCAGATGAATGAAGTAGTTGATCAGAGATAAAATTCGTTGAATCTAAAATATTATCGCTAGACTAGTTCGGAAGCTTCAATCTTTTAGAAGGCTACTTTTTTTCACTTTTCAAAAGGTCATTATGGTTATATTTCTGATGAATATGGACGACATGTAATATTACGTGGCGTTGATGTTGAAACAGAACAAAGAAATATTCCTGCTGATCAAGATAGACCTATTGATCCATCATTATATGATGGTCGATGTCCATCGAATAATAATGTTTATCAAGAACCTCCAACATGTGACATAGATTATGGTAAAGGAATGTATAATATCAATGATGAATGGTATAGCCATAATGATTTTGCTCAAATAAGAAGATGGGGGTTTGTTTAGTTTATTCTTCTAAATGATCCATTATTAAAAATCTATTTTTCTCTTCTAGTTTTAATGTTATTCGATTATGTTTGAGTTGGAGTGCATTAGAACCAACACCAGGAAATTATAGTAAAATGTATTTAGAACGCGTCGAACAGGTTTCTTTATTTTGATGTTTTAACTGAATTGATTTATTTGGTTATTTGTAGATTGTTAATTGGGCATCGGAGCAACAAATCTATGTTATACTTGATATGCACGAAGATTTATATACTCGTTATATATTTGGTGATAAAGAACATGAAGTTCCGCCTTACCTAATAGCATCGGATGGACAAGATGGTGCTCCTCAATGGGCAGTGATGACTGAGGATTGGCCTGCACTAGCCCTCTTAGGCATTGGAAATTTAAATTTAGCAATGATGAAAGCATTTGATAATTTTTATAATAATGCCATACCACCCAATTGCACACAAGGAGACGCACCTGGACCTGGTTTACAAGATCATTACATTGGAGCCATTGCCTTTTTAGCAAAAGCATTTGTGAATAATAGTGCAGTTTTAGGATTTGAGGTAAGAATTTGGTTTTTCTTCCATTGAACATGTAATTATATGTAAATCTTTCAGTCATGAATAGAACCTGCTATAATTTTACTGAGATTAAACTTTGAAATATATTATTACTAACTGGTCTATTTTGCATGATACAGATTTTTCTTTCATTTCCTCAGAAACTATCGCAGTATCCAACGTTAATTCAAAACTATTCCTACTGAATATAATACCAGACTTTGATAACACTATTTACTTGCTTCTTTAAATAGATAATGAATGAGCCAGAGCCTGGCACACATGCTGATCAATATACATTTTCTAGTGATTATCTATATCCATTTTATAAGCGTGTTATTCAAGCTATAACTGGTGTTCGTGATGATCTGCCAGATTGTCCAACACATGCTCCAACAGGATCGAATTGTTCTTACCCAAGTTTGGGAATTGATGATCAACAACATTTATTTTTTTTTGAACCAACTGCATTTCGAAATTTATTGGACTACAGTCCTCAATATTCCGTACCATTTACATCCTACGAAAATATCGTCTATGCGCCTCATGTTTACACTCATATATTCACAATCGATAGTATATTACATATCAATGAATCAAATTATCCACCATCATTTGAGTATGTTTCTCAAATATTATTGAGATAGAATCGACTTCGTTCATGTTTGTTAATATTCTAGTTTTGCATATGAATCGGCATTGAACGAATCTATTGGTTTGCAAAGTGCGATTCTAGTTACAGAATTCGGTTGTGGTACAGATGCCGATGAGAGACTATTAATTCCGACTGTTGAATCTCAAGATAAAGCAATGATGTCTGCAACAATATGGCCATGGAAAAATAATTGCTTTCAAGAAGGTTGTGAAACAAGTTGGAGTTTGTACGATTCAGGTACATTAAACGGTACAGATGCAACCCAAAACGGTCCTGAACGTCCGAATCGTGTGCGAATATTATCTCGCGTACATCCACGTGGTGTCATCGGACAATTAAAGCAATATTTTCACAATACAACAACATCATCATTTACAATGACTGCTAATTGTTTCAATAAAACATTGTTGCTGTCAAGTAATGAAACAATAGTCTATATACCGAGACGATTAAATAGTTCAGTAGTAAATGTTACCGGTGAAGCTAAGCTACTGAGAATAATTCAAAATCCCGATGAAAGTCGTTTGGTTATTATCAATCCGACATGCAATGGGCAATATCATTTATTTGTTGCCAATAATACAAATCAAATACTTAATTTATATCAACAAACATTGAAAACTGAACATTCTAATGTTGAATTAAAGAATCACCAAAAAACTATAGAATCAATGAAAAAAGCCTACGAGTTATTTCAGCTGTTACATATCGCTGCTGTTAAAATTGGTGAAACATTTGCTTCAACGTCTTCAAAATTTGCAAATAAAGTAAATATGCCAACATGGGATTTTACAGATTCCCATCCGTAGCAGGTTGATCTGAATTCTCCTTCGCCATAAAAAAAAAGAGACTTCATTATCACGACCAGTATCTTACTCGCATAGAGATTGCGAATGAATTGCGAGAATGAGAGGAATGTATTATCTTTGTTTCAAAAAAAAGAAAACAGTTTTTATTTCCTTACACATCATCTACCTAATGGTTTTATTTGTTTTATTTAGTTGGCAGCACTGCAACATGCTGTTGAAATCAATATAAAAGATATAATACCATTGTTGAACAAACATCGCAAACAAATTTAAACATCGTTATTGTTATGCTGATTCTTACAAAGGACAACTGATTTATTTTCAACGCTCAATCAGCACGAAGAATCGTACCGCATTTATTCTTTTGTTTCTTCGAAAATTTCTACATGTATTAAGTAAACCTAATGTAAATTTTTCATGTCAAGCGTGACATTAAAGATCCAGTGCTTTCGATATAATTTTAAATTAAAAACAAAAAGTTTTATTATGAAAACAAAGATAAAAATAGTGTTCCTTCTACGTATGAGTCACGCATGCTCTCCATTTTTCTCTTCTTTCCTCCCTTGACTTCTTGTATAACTTGATATGTTGTCAGAGGGGTCATAAGTCGTTTCTTTCGTGCAATTAATAGCAGATATACTTCTCATCAGTGACATCTATTTTTATTTTTTCCCTATGAATATTTTCTCAAGAGTTTTTATATAATATGATCAAGGATGGACAACCTAACATTATTCTAATAAGCTAATTTCTAGCTGATATCATTTTACTAAGAATGCATCTTGAAGGAGGCTTGTTTCCAGAGAGACTGACATGAAAGTGTATGAACGAGTAGCATCAGCTACGCGTTCTTCACAACCTTTATTTGCCAATGTTCATAAAATATTGATCTGTCACAAGAACATGTCGCCTGTATTCAATATGAAGAAGTTGTGTGAATTGAGAAAGAGCTTATTTCTATAGGTTGAATCAAGATTACCGCTAGTGTTTTAACATCAAATTGATGAACAAATACTTAATTTTATTATTGAAATAACATAAAAGTAAAATATAAATTATAAATGATACAAGAATGTTTGTTAGTGCATTAAGTAATACAAAAATAAAAATAAAAATAATTTCAAAAAAGATAAAAAATATTGGCGTATTATGATTTTTTCTTGCGTGGAATACTCTAAATGAAAATAATTCTAATGAATTGCATTTTTAGGATTGCTTAAAATCAATCTAACTTGACTTGATGCACTTGGTGATAATGTACGTGTGTTTGTAGTCTGTTGTTCTGGTTTTCTCTTAGTTGATCATGTAATTGTTCTTGCTCTATTTGAATTCTATTCTGCAAAAGAAAAAGTAGAGAAAGAATTCTTTTGAATTATAAGCCGAAAGTTTAGGTGCCTCATGTGAAGTAGTTATTACTTTTAAATTTGTAGAAAGACCAATTAGCGACCACTAATTTTGAAATGGATTTGATCCAAATAATGGATGTAACGATGATGATATAAGACTCTTGATTGTACTGCTGCAAACATTAGATAAACATGATGTAGATTGATAACAATAGCTAGGTTCAATATCAATCGATACACTCATGAGATTCGATTGACTTTCATTATCATTTAAACAATAATGTTTTGCTGAACTAATATAACCAGCAGCATGCTATATTATTAAATGAAAGTACGCAAAGTAATAGATATAGAAAAACAATAAAGTTAATGCTGGCATTATCATCATAAATAAAGTCAAGTGCAACTTCATCATCATGAGCATCATTGTCCTCACAATCATCGTCACAATTAAAATCTTTTGCATTCTCTATTTGATTATCATATTTTGTATCATCAAAATAATCATCTTCAAAATATCATTTGTTAATTGTGATGTTATCTGAAAGGAAGAATTCCGTTGTCTACCAGAAAAATTATTCATCAAAACAATGTTTATGAATTTACCTGGATCCTTGTAGGATTTGTACATTAATCAATGAAACAATAGTAACTGTTAAATAATCACCAAATTCAATTAAATCTTAAAGTTCATTTGATTTGACAAATATGAAAGCAAATAATATACTATTGTAATATTTCTGGTGAAAATCTGAAATAAATTGACCAAGATAATCGAATCAGTTTTAATAAATAAATATTGAAAAAAATAGATTAGAATACAATGTGATAAACCGCAGCAGTTGCAGAATGCTTACGCAGCAGAATTCAGAATTCTGTAAACTTATAATATTTTTAAACAAATCAATGCTTATAGAATAGAATTCTATAGAATTCTATATCGGCAAGATTAAAGTATATCACTTTTGCTCTTCATATGATATTAGAATTCTATTGTAACTTGTTTCAATTCTGCTCAGAATTCTATAGAATGTTAGGGTAAAGGAATATGTTTTGTGTAAACAAATGCGTTGGATATGTTGTTCGTTCGGCACAAATTCGGAGGATTAAAGTTGTTTTCGTAAATTTTATGGATAGAGGATAGATTTTATACGAAATGAAGGCAATCTAAAACGTCTAGTTTAATTGAAAACATCGACACTTCTAATTTATTTCAAACTTACTGATGTCTCTGGTAAACGTGAAATTTATACACACCAATGTTCTGCGCGCGGATCTTTCTGTTTCAAAATCAGACTGGCAGAACATAGTGCGTCAATTCAAAGGCAGCTTTCCAAGTTATTGATAATATAAAAAACTGTTTGTATAACTGTTTAAGTGTTTTTGTAAGATAAGCTATGTGTAGTTTTATTAAAATGAAATGAATGAAATTACAAAGATACGAAACAGCTTGTTCATTAAATAGCTTGTTTAATTCTACAATCCCGACTTTAGCGTGTACAAAATATTTCATTCTCAATAATGCATGATATTGTTCCATGTTTCATATACATGCCAATGTAAATGTTTCTTCTTTTCTCTCGTTTCATGATGTAATCATAATCAACTATCTTCGATGTGTATGAATTTATTTTCTAAACATGTATGATTAAAAAAAGAAATCTAGAGATGAACAAACAACCATCGTTATATCAACATCTTTTTACAAGCATACTCCTCAACAGTTGACTACAATAAATCACCCAAAACCTTTCATTTTTAAATAAGCATTTGAGCTTTGTATTCTGCTACTACCGATAGAATTCTATTTTATATTCTGCTGGTCTTTTTAACTTCTCCATAAGCATTCATTCTAGTTATCTTTGTTTTGGATTTTTATACTGAGTTGGTTATAATTCTGCTTCTACCGATAGAATTCTATTTTCCACGTATGGTAGTGCGTTTGTCTATATTATGCTACTTTTTCGCTATGTACGAAATAACAAAATTCTGAATTCTGCTGGTTAGGCATTCTGCAGGCCCTCATAAACTGACTACAATTTCACCATAAAACTTTGTCACTTTGTTCAAAACTGACCACCACGATTGTGAAAATTACAGAGGGCGACACAAATGAATTGTTTTCCGCCCAAAAATCAAGTTTACAGGTATCTCCGGGAAAAAGAACTATACCATTCAATTGCAAATTAAATTTAGAATTTTTTGGTACTTGAATTATAGAATAAAAGTTGTAAAGAAAACACTATATATGTAGTGCATAAGTGACGTTCGAATCTGCTCATAACAGTCTGAGTCATCTGGGTCTGGCAGTATACCAACTGTCATTTGCGTGCCGTTTGCATATGACGTTTTAGCGATGACTCATCGATCACGAATTGCTACAGAAAATGAAAAAAAAATGTCTTCATTTTAAGACTCATACGAACAATTGTGCACGTAAGCAATAGATAAAATTAGAAAAGAATTTATTTGAAATAAGAATAAATGAAGTAAATAATAAAGAATCGTAATAGCTGTAATTTAAAATTGATGAGATACAATGAGTTGGTTAGAAGTACTTTCTGTTTTGATAATTTCAATTAGTTACTGAGCTGAGAAAATATAACTAGTATATTTTCAATGTTATTTTTCAAACAATTATTATATTACCATCGAAGAGTTTCTATTTGTATTTTTTCTGACCAATCTGCATTGTTCTTCAACAGAGAGAGAGTATTTTCGTTTTGTCATGCGAACAAACTAAATCGCTCGAGTTAAATGTTGAGATCATATTTTTTTTAGATTTTCTAAATAGAAAAAAAGAAGAAAATGAATGAAAAAAATCTTGATTCATCACTATCATCTGATGAATTATGGTTAAAAATTATTAATGAAGGTAAAGAAAATCGTGTTGAAGTCAATCAACGCATGTTAATTGATAAAATGCTGGCTCGTTATTCATCTGAATTTGTTGTTTATCGAGAATTAATTCAAAATTCTGATGATGCTCAAGCAACCTCGTTTACTCTTGAAATAACATGTGATCCATCAACAGCCACAATAAATTATGAATCAGTTAACAAAGATGACCTATCAGTAAATCAAAGAAAACGAACAAATATCTTAGGCGGAATTGGACAACTATTAAAAAATCATTGGAAATCCGATCCTACAAGTCCGAATAAAGATACAACTGATTCTTCATTAAATAGCCAACGTTCATTGGAAAATGATTTTAACAATTGTATAATAACTCAAATCCGTACAATAAACAATGGAAATATTTTTACTGAAGACGATTGGACACGAGTTATAACAATCGCTGAAGGAAATACAAATGTGGACGCTATCGGACAATTCGGTGTTGGATTTTTTTCTGTTTTCTCCTACTCCGAACGACCTATGATTCAATCGGGGAAACATGGTTTAGCATTTTCATGGCAAAATGGGAAATCCTTAACAACATTTCGTAAAGAATTGTCTAACGACGAACAAGCCTCGACAACTTCGATTATTCTTAAAATGAAAAATAAATTCATTTTGGAAACAAAATCGTCATTAGAAATCAATGAAATCAATGATGATGTTCATCGACCGACAAAATCAAAGAAAAACACCATGACAAATGAAATCGTTCCGACAATGGATTTAACACAATTGAAAGCTTATTTTACAAAAGTTCTTTCATTTACGAAATTTATCGATGAATTAATTATTAAAATCAATGGCCACACAGTTTTTCAAGTTAATAAAACAAAAAAATCTTTAGTATCCACGAAATTATCTTTAGCAGCAAAACGAATCAATAAAAATACTGAACATAATTTACTTCGTTTTAATTCATTTAATCAAACTGAACAAGAATTTTCTATTCAAAATGGCCCATCAATAACCTTGAATCATATCGATGTTCAAGCCCAATTAACCATTGATAAGGAATTTCATGAACAAATTCGAAATGTTCTTAAAAAAAGTTTACCATCTACTGTACATATTCAATTTTTATTTCCATCAAATAATGTTTGTTAATTTCTTTTTTTCTTACTTCGATACGATTTCCTTTTAATTTTTACTAGATACTTTTACAACAACAATGGAAAACGTTAAATAATAATAATTTAAATAATCAAATATTAAAAGAATTAATTCCATTGAAATTTCATAACCAAGAAATTGTTCCAGCTGGTCAAATATTTATCGGTTTAGCAACACATCAATCGACAGGCATTGGTATGCATTTGTTTAGTCATTTAATTCCAACAATTGAACGTGAAAATATTGATTTACAAGATCCATATATCTCCATTTGGAACGAACAACTTTTAGTGTCAATAGGAAAAATTATTCGATTTATCTATGATCAAATTATTCTTGATGCTGTTAATAATATTCATCAAGATGTCAACCAACAACTCAATCTTATTCTTTCTCCTTATGCATTTCAACCGTCAGCACCCAATAAAGATATTGGTCTGTAAAGAATTTCTTAGACAATTCTTTTGTAATTTTTTCCCTTTAAAGGTCGTATTCTTCTCGATGGTTTTTTTTCGTCACAAGAAGATATTCTTGTACCTGTGAAACGGTGTCCATCCGATAATCATCTTTCATTGATTCCGTCGACGGAAGCTTTTCTTTCAAATTCAAAACATATTCAAGCATTCCTTCCTGTTCCGCTTGTTCCATTTGAAATTTCGAAAAATAATTTTTTTAAAATTTTAAAAGAACGCCGATGGATCGAAGAAATCGATTATGATACAATTGTAGTTAAAATTCATCAGTCCATTTTTCTATTTAGTGAATTTGTTGAATTACTTCGTTGGCTATGCAAAAATGATATGAATAATAGTAAAGTTTATATAAAACGTGTTCTTTCAAAAATTCATTATCGTGACACTCGCCAATCGCCTATTATCAAATTAGAAAATATCGAATTATATGATGCATTAAATATAAATTCTCTTCCTTTGCCACCGAATGTCTTACCGCCTGATGTTGTTGCGCATATATCTCGTGAAGATTTACAACGACGATTATCATTATCGGCCATGTCTGCGAAGACTTTAATTGAATATTATCTTATTGAAAATCAGCATCATCTTTTTCATAATGAAAATACATCGAAAATACTTCTTAGTTTTATTTGTCAAAACTGGAATCAATTTAATGATGCTGAGTCAACTATAATAAGGAGTTTATTATCGAGTATGAAATGTATTCCAACAAGTCAAGGTATGAAATCTCCTAATGAATCCTATATTCGATCATCAAATTTATCGTCGGATTTACCCATCATTACACTTTATATTCCACAAGTTGCAAAAGATAATAATCAACAAGAGTCAAAAGATCATCCAGTATCAACGGAGTTTCTTAAATCGATCGGTTGTCGAACAATTCACGTACCAACATTGACAAATCCTCTACAAACTGAATCAAATGATTTACAAAAACTCGAAACTGTTATTCAAGATCTATTAAAACAGCGTAGAAATATGAGTGATACTGATCTTCATGCATTAAAACACAATCAATGTATTACAGGTGAATTTTGTTACGCACAGTCTAAAACTTGTCAAAACTAAAGATATGAAAAACTGAGACTGAAGAAAGACGATTCCGCACATCTATAATCAATGGTTTCCTACCCGTATGAAAATCCCCATCCCCTGTAACCCAAACTAGATAGCGAAAAACAATATTCTATAAAGTCTTTTTTATTCTTATAGGAACAACCTTAGAATCAAATGGTCAAACAAAAACTAAGTATAAACCTTGCGATCTTCATTTTCCATCAGTAGCAATTCGTCTTAAATGGAATGAATTACCGATAATAGACTGGCTAGATATTGATTCTCATTCACAAGAATATTCATTTCTGAAAGAACTTGGCGTCAAAGAAGTGCCAGAATTACATAAATTAATTGCGCGAATCGATTTTGAACATCAAGCTGGATCTAAACAAATAGTTGATTATAAATTACCGAATTCATTGGTCTTTTTTGCTGAAAAATTTCAAGTACATTATTCAAAATTATGGAAAAATGCTAAAATAAGAACACCTTTTCTTCCATCATCTGTTCCTGATGTGAATCATTCCACAGAAGTTATATTAACAACACCTGAAACTGCTTTTAAAGGTTTGTTCTGCCTACTTTTATTTTTCGAATCTTTTCATTTTTTTGTTTCAAAAATTAGAATTAAGTCCATTATTTCCATCTTTACTTCCTGATGTCATTCGATGTTTTTCACAATATTTTAACATGGAGTTACTTGGTGTTAAAAATCATCCTACTCTACCAATGGCTTTCGAAGTTCTAATGGAAAAAAGAAATCAATTATTAACATTTCAAACAGCCTCGAAATACTTTGCTTATTTTAATAAACTCGATGGTCTCAATACAAAGTTTATTCAAAGAATTTCAACTATTCCCTTTATTCCTCTATCAGGTTTGTTGATTTCTTTTCAAATAAATAATTCATTTTTGTTTCTTCTTCAGAAAACAAATTCTACGCAAAAATATCTCAAGTATTCATTCCTACAAAAATATCTCAAGTATTCATTCCTACAAAAATTTCAACAACATCTCAAGATAATAATACTAATACTCTCGATGATATAGCAGCACGTGGTCTCATCGATTACATAGATTATGGATCTGATGCTAATTCATTTCTTCTCAACATTGGTGTTCTTCCTTATCCATCAGCTGAAAATCTCGCTGATTTACTCATAGAACGACAAGAAAGTTATTTTAATCAAAATAAAAATGACACGGAAGAATTAATCTCTGCTAAAGTACGTTTTTATACGAATTGTTTGAAACAACTATCTGCTGCATCGAACGTAACACAACAATTATATGTGGAACCATTACGCAGTCGTTTAATTAATAAACCATGGTGTTTGGCCTATCAGAGCCTTGAACGATCCGATGGAACTAAACATCAAATATTTAAAACAGCTAAACCAAGTGATATCTATCTCGATGATGATCATCAATCTGCCATTGATCTTCGACCCTTATGTGCACCTGATGAACCAGAATTAATGAAATTATATAAAAAATTTGGTGCTAAATGGATATCTGAATGCGTCAAACGAACATTGGTTCATAGAGGTTTGGCTTTAGCATGATAATCGTGACGTTTTTTTAAAAAGAAAATTTTGTTTAGGAAAATGTGTGGTAACGGATCGAAGTAAAAAATTAGGCGATCGAATTCATCATCGATTAGATATGTTGTTTGTTAATAATAGGGTATTCGCTTTTATCTCATTGTGTATTTCAATATTGGTTTTCGTTTAGGGAGAATCTATGGAAAATATTGATGAAAACCGTATTGAATTATTACGAAAGCATTTCGTTATTTATGAGGCTGAAGGTATTGAATGTCAATTAACATTTCAAAATAGAACAATTACATTGAATGTAAGAATCATGTTTTCTATTTTTATAAATTATTTACAATAGGATATTCTTTTATTTTTTTTCTAAACGACAGTCAACTGAATGTAGTTCATGTGCACTTGAATTTGATAGAAAGCAAGTTTGTCTATATATTCATAAAGATATTTCTACTCTCGATTACATTGATATTGCTACGGAATTAACACGATTTGTCTGTAAAAAACCGCTTGATACATTAGTTCATTCAATCAGTGATAAACTTTCTTCGCCATTGGGAACTCTTAAACGGCGAGGAATTCCTGTTGATCGATTATTGAAAAGTTCAGAACAACAACGTAATTTTCCGACATTCAATTTGTACAGAATGAAAAACACAAGAGTTTTCTTTTTCTTTTAGCGGTTAAATTATCGTTACAAATTGAACCAAAAAAGCTCGAAGAAACTAAACCAAAGCCAGCATTGCAACAGCAAGAACAAATAATGGAACCGAAAAAACTTGAAGAGAATAAACCAAAATCAGCATCGCAACAGCAAGAACAAATAATGGAACCGAAAAAACTCTTGCAGCAACAAGAACAACAACAATTACAAAGGCAACACCAACAAGGATCTCAAGAACAGTATCAACAAAATATACTCAATCAACGTGGACTTTTTCAAAGCTTAAAAGAGTAAGATCTATAAAATGATTGACGGAACTTTTTATTCCGAAATAGTACTACAGTCTAGACAATACAGATAAAAGACGGTGAAGAGGTAGCTACGCGAATTTCCACAAGTCTGTAACTCAAGGAGAGAAAATCATTATTTCAAGCGAAAGATCATAGATTTTTCTTATTAAATTGTTTGTATTTAGTTTGTTGGCTCCTATGCAGTTATCAACTCCCTCTGCAGCCCTCCCCCCACCTCCGCCAACTGCTACAAATCCTAAAGCGGGATCTGTTGAAAATATTTCCAGTACCATTGAACGTACACCTATTGAAAATTTTGGACAATTTAAATCTGAAGATGATGCTGATATCGAAAAAATGATTCGAACAAGTCGTCCGTATTCTCAGATGGAGTTCAATCAGCGTGAACATTCGAAAACTGAAAATAATAGTTCATGTGAATATGTTCCAGCTACAAATATGATTCGTTACGATAAACTTCTGCATGGAATTCCGCTTTATATTGACCGAAATGTAAAATTAACGAATATTATGATTGAACAGGGTAAACAATTGGCTTGGGTATTAGCTAGTCTTGCCCAACAAGTATTTAATGTACCTGTACAGACAATGCATCTTTTTCGTGATATTGATAGTGGTAAAACAAAATATGGAATTTTTAGATTCAAATTTTATGTTTTCTTCTTTTACTATTCTAGCTCGAATCGCTTTTAATACTAACGGTGCCTTATTCTTTAATCTTCGTTATTTTGAACAAGTATTTTTCGATGATCTAAGGTATTATCTTGAAAATTCGACACCATCATTACCATCATCAACTCCGATTGTTCGCAAGATCGCTAATTTCTATTATATGATAGCTTGTCATGAATTATCACATAATATTGATTCAAATCATGATTTACATTTTATTGATTGTTTTGAAAAAGTGTCTGTTCGATTTATGGATGCAAAAGATGCATTTCTATCTACATTCTCTTTGCAATTCTAATTATTATTTTTTTAAATTGTTATTTACTATTATGCGAAATTTACTGAATAAAAATCGAGAAAACAGTTGCATTTCCGAGAATTTAACTTGAACTGTTAATCAATTCTATAGAAGACACTAAGGATGTAAGTAGCCTGAGCGGAAGCACATTTGATCAATATTTTATTTTTTTCAATTGTACTTATGGCAATAATTGACGGGCGTAAACCTTTTAAGGGCACATTATTGCAAATTAGATATCAATCTCTGTACGGTAAGAAGTTTAGAAAATTCAATGGCACTAGTTCATAGGGAACTTTCTGTATACTGCTCAATTGTGGTTAGCTATCAGTAATGGAATTGGTTCAGTTGTTTGAAGAAAGTCAGAATAGATTTTATGCATACTCTAAATTATCGCACAGGATTTATGACGTCCTCTATAGATATCTTTTTTTTCTAGTATTTGAGATTTTATATTAATATAAATTTCTGAAGTATCATTAATGATTAGTGAGCATAAGGAAACACATTTAATACAGATCATTGACTAAATGAGAAAAATTTCAAGAGGATATTGCTGCTTCAATAAAAAAATGACTTTTTCCACATCTACTTGTATGATTTCAGTATCATCAAAAATTTTAGATCACAATAATTTTTTAAAACGTGGTTAGATCTCTGTATATGAATTTTGTTTTGATATACTTCTTGGTAATTAAAAATGGATTTATTTGAAAATTTGTAATAAAACTTCAATAGATTTTAATCTGGTTCTAAATTAAGAAATAACATTGATTTAAAGGATTTTGCTCGTTATCATGTATCGCGGAGGTATTACATTTTATGGGTTACATAGAATATATGGAAAGTAGAAAGAAAAAATTTATAGGTCATGGTTTCGTATGTTTTGCATTAAATTACTTTTATAAAGCTATCTCTTTCTTGATCTGTATTAAGAAATGTAATACGAAATCCAATGTGTAGTTTTTGAATGTCTTGTGGAAATCATGTGTATATTTTGATAACTATTTATTTTACTTGGAAATGCTACCGATGAACTAGCGAAATGATTGTTCAAAATATGGTGGTGATCATATAGATCAATATAATTCAACATGAGGATGCCTCTGACTTTATGAATAACTTGAGTTCTCTTTTCATCTGTATGCTCATCATCATGATGCCATCTGTGAAATCGAAGATTCTTTATTTCCCAATAAAGGTTTATTTCAGAGTAGTTCATACTACTGATGGATTATGATAACTACCCAACTAATAGCATCGTGTGGAGTGTACTTATTCTTTTCCGGATGTAAAAAGCCGTCGAGGTGTCAATCATAATATTTCAAAGAGATTTTGTTTGCATAATTGACAGCAATAGTAACGGTATTATTTATTAAAATTATGAATATTTGCGGTCAATTTTGAAACTTTCTGTTCGAAACTAATTATGCAATGTAGAACAATAGTTAATAGTGATTCAGATGACCATGTAGAGTTTTTCGCTACCATCCAATGATTTTAAAGAGCAATACAAAATAAAATGTTCATCATCAGAATCTCTAGATCAGTAGTGTCGAACTTGAAACTTGAATTAAGTTGAAAATAGAAAAGTTCAACTTTCAATTGAATTCAAGTTTCAAGTTTGACATATATGAAAGAGACAGTGCACACCTTTATCTGCACATAGACACACCATTACAGCACCAAATTCAATCACATCCACAGCCTAATTCGATTTCTATCTAGTCAAAATGCTAATTGACTTATAATGAATTTAACTTTGAAATAAAAATGAGAGATATTTTGAAAAAAATTTGACATACTAAATTTGTATGTAATGCCTCAGAATCTAAATATTTTGATTAATTTGCATAGGAAAATCATTGATTGCAATGATTCATTAGTTTTCTTTGAATTCAAAATATTTCCTTTTCGACCAATTTAATGCATAATGTTATCTCCAACAGGCTGGTTAAATATTCATTAGTATTATTCTGTTGATTCGAAATTCATGTTGTTCGTCTGCTAATGGCGATTATTAACTTCTTTTTGTCGCTAGGCGTAATCACAGAACAATAGAATGAAATGTTTCTTTTTCATTGCCGTCTATTAAACTATCTCCTATATAAATAAGACGGAACAAGTAAAATTTATATTCAACCAATATATTCATTATTGACTCTTTACATTACAGAACGTCTAAATATGGCATTTTCTCTTCTTACTAACAATGTTGATTTGAAGTATGTCAACATAACATGCGAATTTCATACTATTTCGAACGAGGCAATGGAAACCATCAAATGTGCACATGAATGTGTCTTTGAAAATGTTCAACCATCTAATGAACAAAAAACTCAGAGTAAGAATTTACTTTTCCCTTATTTATCTATACAATTTTTTGAAAATTTAGATAGTCAATCATATCATAGCTACAACTTTTAATCCTGATGAATGTTGAAAGTACTACATCATTAGAGTCTGAGTTTTTTACAGTATGGGTCAATGGAAAAGTGAGTCAAAATATTTACATTTTCTTATCTAAATCACATTATTCTAGGTGCACTCACTGATATCACACATATAGAGCAAGGTAGTGATTTAAACGGATCTATGTCTCTTCGAAAAATGTAAGTATATCAAACTCAATATTTGTTTGTATTCTGCATGCATTTTTTTGTTCGTTCCATTGAGCAGAAAGGCCACACTCAATCATGAAATCGAAAAAGCTCGCCAAACAATCAATATTTGTTTGTAAATGCCCAGGTGAAAAACACACGGTCGTAAACCGCAAGAAACAATAGGTATGCTTTAGCATTATTGACTTTGCACGATCGTATACGAGCTCAATGCGCAGGAATCGTAAACGACCGTTTTTGTCTCCATATAGTGTCGTATTTCGCCGTAAACGACCATGCTTGTTTGACCTGGGCGGTGGTAAGACAATTTTTTACTGTTTTGTAAGTATTTAACGTTGCGTCTTATTTAGTAATTGATAACTAAATGACCCGACACGACATCTATTTTTTCAGGATGGCAACGACTCTCCCCCATCATTTAGTCAATGAAATGCTATTGTTTCATCGTTCATCAGGGTAATAATAATTGGCAGAAGTAAAAGCTGAAGGACGAAGCAGGCTAAGTATACGATTGATCTTTACGAAAAGTACAGTAAACCAATGAGTGCAAGTCCATATTTTATCAGTGTCTGAATAGTACAAACTAGTGTTTCCAATGGTAAGTGTACCAAGCAGAAGCAAAATGTACAGAATATCTGCTACTTTTGATTTACACTCTGTTGTAGACTTTGCCAAAACAATTTACATTTTGATTTCTTTGATCTCTGAACCTTAAATGCTGCATATAGTATTAAATAAATTATATTTTGTCTTTTAGATTGTGAAAATTTGGTTTTTGTACACTTTGTACGCTTTTCGGAAAAAAGACGAAGTGAAATATACGCTTTGTTCACAAAATACAGAGTGTACTGTACATTTTGTTTTAGATTTCCATTGGAACGCTGGTACAAACCTAATATAACTTTTTGAAAATGAGTTCAGTAAAAAATCTTGATGACAATCGTAAACAAATTTGCACTATAGAAATTCTTTGATAAAATTTTGACATCGATATCGATGCGCGATTTCACATGGGATTTGATGGTCAACTTGAATTTTTCGGCAAATTCAAAATTCAGAATGCTTATACCGCTATACATATGGGACTACAGTCTTTATTTTATCACAAATAGAGATGATTTTAATGCATTCGATTTTTCCGTAAATTCAAAATCCCCATCATATGAATTCGTTATAGCCATCTAGACAGTTACATACTCGACCACATTTCATAGCTTGTAATACACAGTTATCTGAGGGTGTGGATGTGAGTGCTGACTTCGTTACCAAACAACCACACTCATATCCACCCACGCTCGAGAGGTGTCCTCGCGGATGCTGGCACGGGTATGAATATGGATCTCTATAGCAGCTTCAGTTATTTTTGGCACACCACACCCATGAGCGCATTCCATCTCTGGTCGAACAATACGGCCCGTAAAACACCGATTTGCTCTACGGCAAAAAATGGTAGGTAAACGGTAAAAATACAGTGATATACGGCCCTTATCTGATGATCATATTCAATTACCCGGGATCCTCATACACAAGAGCACCACTATGTGCTTTCTTTTTCGTTAATCTTCTTGTATTACAGATATCTGCCATCATACATCCAATGTCGTACATAAACGTAGTTTTTAAAACGAGTGACACAAATAGAACGTGCTTACAATTACCAGTTAATTTCACATATGAAGATTTCGTTGGTGTAGCAGAACGATTGTATGGTGCCGGTTGTTGTCAAGTATTGACTTTTGTTGCTGGTAGTAAAAATATACATGTACATGATCGAACACAATTTGATAAGAGCAGAGAATTTATTAAAAATCATTGTCAAATATGGACTGCGCAAAAAATGATGGGTGGTTGCTTCTTGCGGGATACATTCATTTTACTTTCGGACGGAACTAGAAAAAACATAAGCGACGTTCAAGTCGGTGACAGCTTACTGGCATTTACCACCTTCGGTGAGATCGTTACTACGTCGATTCAAGAAGTTTTCGTTCATGATGTCGACGAATATATCAAACTAAGTGCTGGAGATAGCCTGTTGTGTGTGACGCGTGAACACCCATTCTTTGTCGGAAATGACAGCTTTTGTTCACTAGAGAAACTTCATATCAACGACTGCATCTACAGTTTGGTTGATGGTCGGCTTCAATCAATGTCCATCATGAGCATGGTAACTATTGTTGCCCCGACTACACGTGTATACAACCTGCGCACTGCAGAACCACACACCTATTTTGCTAATGGATTTGCTGTTCATAACAAATTCGGTGCAGAGTTTGTCGATCTGAGCAACATTAGTGGTCTCAAACGACTTGAATGGAGTCCCAGCGGTCCCACATGGTATACAGCAAAACCTGGTCTTTGCCTTGAGGGTCAGTGCACCAATACATCATGTGAAGCGCACAAATGTGAAAAATACAAACGGACAGTGATTATTAATCTTGGATTTAGACAATTCGATCTGCTGGCAGACGCCAATGCTGATACAGCGAAGTGTCCCGCATGTGCACGCTATGTCGAACCGAAGACATGCGCTTTCAACAGATGCAAATGGCGGTGGCAGGGAATTAAGCAAGCTCAAAGTGGTATGCCACCTGAGAACATTTCGGCAGACTGGAAAGTTGCTGACAATGCTTATCATCGATTCGACCAAGATGTCAGTGGAACAGTCATATGGAGAAAATTAATTATTGAAACGCAAGAGAACTGACTTGAATGACATCAATATTTGTTTTTTTCTATTGAGTATTGCCGAAGCATTAATTTACTTTTGATATAATATATAACAAACGCTCACAGGGTGAGAACGTTGAGTGTCCTATACAGTCCCAGTGGTATTTAGGGGCGTTGGTGTCCGGAAGTGCGAGTGTGAATGTGGCTGTAGACTGCTATGGCGAAGAGAAAACTAACACCAGACATCTACACCCGGGTGGCCTATCGACTGAAGAAATCATTTTTCTTTTTAGATTTTTAAAATAAAAGAAAAAAAATTGAATTTGAGATGTACGTGTGACACAAGTTGTTATTGAAAATGGAATGAAAAACAACTCCGCGCACCTCTAGAGATTTTTTCTTTCTTTCTCTTGTACTGCTCATGGCGTCGTTTTTTCATAGACGGCAGGGTGGGTGTGGGTGTGAGCACAATTGATTCTCATTCAGATCCTGATATGCAAAGGCAGCTGCGTTTCATAAACACTCATACATCCTCACTCAAATGTGCAAGACACCCACACCCACGCCCTCAAACTTTGTTAGAACAGGTTTTTAGGTAAATTGGCCCTAAAATGTACTCCAATCTCCATCTAAGATAATACGCATGTTGTTTATATTGATTAAGTAAAACTATTGTTCTCTTTTATCCTACTAGGATTAAACAGTGACTATTATTTTCGTATGAAAAAATACATTACTTTAATTATAAGTGCAAAAACAATATGAGACTCTTAATCGAAATAATTATGAGACCATATATAGTAATGTATGAAGAATATAGTTATTAAAGTACGGAATCAAATACAAAATTATTTTCCTGAAACCTTGCTTGCCATAGCTGTTGGATCAGCTTGATAGAGTGATTTAATAATGGATTGAAAATATTTTCGAGCGGTGTTTCGCCGCGTCTTGAACGTTCCTGTAATAAGTCCATTGCTTTGCGTAAACAGTTCAGAGTGAAGATGAATATTGCTCAATGTTTCATAAATTTCAAGTTTGTGTTTTTTTGCTAATCTTATTAAATCAGATAAAATAATATCTTTTAGTTTTTTATTCATGCATAAATCGGCAAATGTTGTTTCAGTATCTATTGCTTGAAAGTTCTTGCGCACATACTGCTCATCCGGTATTACAATAGCCACAATAGTCACTTCAGTAGAAATACCATCAATAAAGATTTGTTCTATCCATGGAGAACGAACATAGATGTCTTCAAGGCGTTCTGGTGCAATATATTTTCCTTGGCTTAATTTGAATATATGTTTTGCACGATCAATAATACGTAGTGCTCCATTAGTTGTCCATTCCCCTATATCACCTGTATGCAACCAGCCATCTTGATCAATGGCTTCTTTTGTCTTGACTTCATCACCATAATAACCTATTATGACAAGAAAACTGAAGAAAGATAGGTACTTTTAAATGGTAATCAGTTAGAATAATAATAATGAGAAGTCATAAAATGTGTGTATTTAGAATTAATGATCGCTATCTTCTACAAAACTACATGTAAGTTCCACGAAGGTATAACATAAATTCATAAAATCGAATTACCTTTAAAAATAGCTGGACCCCGTATGCAAATTTCTCCTTGATTATTGTCAGAACGATAGTTTGTATCTGATACATCAATTAATTTTATTTCTGCACTCGGCCCAGGCGAACCAATTGTACCATACGACATATCAATTGGATTTGTACTGGTACCAGATGTACATGTTTCAGTTTGTCCATATCCTTCTATTATAGGTATATTCAGTGCAATACGAAAAAAATGCATCACATCTGGTCTCATTGGAGCTGATGCTGTTATTATTCCCTGTAATTTACCACCAAATAAAGCTCGTACTTTTCGAAAGACGAAATGTGATAAAAACGGTGGTTGTTCACGTAATGCTTGTTGAACAAGATATTTTTTTATTGCACTTTTATTAACATCCTTAACGATTGCATCATAGACTTTATTGAGAACACGTGGTACAACAGAAGCTTGTGTTGGTTTTACTATAGATAAATATTCGACTAGGTTTTCAGGTGCTGGACAAAATACCAGTGCTGTGCCTTTTAATAGAATTTGAAAGATAACAAATTTTTCAAATACATGTGCCGCAGGTAGAAATGAACAATGAATATTAGTAATTGGTCTTTTCATATTTTGTCGATCCAAACGAATAAGATTAGCTTTAACTGCTGCTAATAGATTTTCATGTGAAATCATTGCAAGTTTTGGTTCTCCTTAAATAAAATAAAAAGGAAATATTGTATTAATTATTAATTAGAATTCTTGGGAAATTTACCTGTTGTTCCACTTGTTAATATCAGTGAAGCAATACTATCTGGATCGACTATTGGACGCTCGCGTATATCACTATTGTTTATTGATTTAATTATTGTTGGTACCGATCGAATTTTACTATTCTCACCATAGTCTCCATCATCCATGACTAGTATCTCTTTAATCTGATTATTATTCAATAAATCATCTTTAAACGTTTGAATACGTTCTAAATTGTCAACAACAAGTACCTCAGCTTGAGTATCTTGAAGAACCTTTAAAATATTTTTGGAGTCGTACGTCGTATAGATGCCAACAACGATAAATCCATATTGATAGCATGCTTGTTCAACAAATAAAAATTCAGCACGATTTGACGACAAAATAGCTACTTTTGATTGCATTGGCGTAAGTTTTGTTTCTATCCATAAATAAGAACCAATTCGTCTACATTTTTCCATAACTTGGGAATAAGAAAGCCATTGTAAGGAACCGATATCATTTGATGATTGAAGAATGCCTACACAGGGTCCATCGTTTGAGTTAATATGACCTTCATTGAGAGCATCACCAAGTGTTAGCACTCGCGGATGATTTGCCTTATAAAAAGTCCAAATGTCATCATTTTTATGAAGTGAACATCGACGAGTATGGTCTATTGGATTCATTTCTACAGTCTGTTGCTTTAAATCTATTCCATCATCATACAATTGTCGCATACGTCTTTCATAAGTAATTGTTTTTGTTGGAATGAATAGAACTGTTCTATGAGCTAGTATAATACAATGCCTTCTTGGTCTTAATAAATATTGAAACATCGATGTCTTACAAATATAATTAAAATCTGAAATAATTCTGATTTTTAACGATTTCTTCTTTTTGTGAATCTAAAGAAGGTGGGTATGGATGTAATAAACGTATGAACAGACACGCCGACACCCACACTCACCCATATTATATGCAGCAGGACAAGTAAAACATCCTACTTTTTCTATATGCACACCATCAGCAACTCTGACAAGATATGAATTTACATTGCTGGCTGCTTGTATGTGGTTATCAACGATATCAAGTAGATATAATAGTAAAAAGAAAGTCAGTAACATGACAACAGGATACATGTTTCATTACTCTACAGGTGATAGTTTAAAATGCGTCAGTTTTTTTTAAACGATTCTATTCAAACAAAGTTCTAGACTCTGACCTGCACGTTAACACTAATAAAAAGTAACAAAAGACAACATTTCAGTCATTAATATTATTTATTCTTGAAAAATTATTGAATCACTGTTAGCGTCAGTAGACTTCGTTAACTGACGCTAAGCTATTTATAAATATGTTTATGCTTCTCAATCTCGTTGGATCTGTTATGTCATTGTGTCAGATATAATTGATTCACGTGATTGAGTATCTATTGCGTAGTTTCTTTGTATTTAAAAGTCAATTGCTTTTTTTTCTTCTCGATCGATATACAACATCCTTCTATCTTTTCTGTTATCGTTATTATTAATCATATATTATACAAAAACATATATTAATAATAAACTATTATTGAACTCATCCTCCCATATTTATTATTGCCTTACAGCCGGGTAAGCTGTTTTCTATACGTGAACTCTCGTCTCACCTATATGAACGTCACCCTCTAATATTTCGTTTCATAGAAGTCACGTTATTTTTAAAATAAAATAAACGAGAGTCCTCACAATCACGATTATCACGTTGAAGTTTTTTGTGCTAACGACTAAATTATTAGAAGCTCAAAGTCATGTTTTGACTGTTAAGTATTATAATGAATTCCTAATAGAGTAGCATCAATAGTCACAGTGACGAAAACCATTTCCATTTCAAGACCGTAACTGTATGCAACTATGTGCGGTGCATAATTATAAGATCACTTGTTTTCAAAGTGCACTAAATAAAATGAGCGATATTTTTAGTGATTTCACATAGATGATTCATAAGAATAGCGCTATAAAATTTTCAAGTTCGAGTCTTTTCATTTTCTTATATATCTAGAATTACCTCCATTTTGGTGGTGGATAAATATAAGACCACATAAAAAAATACAAAAAAACCAAAAGAAAAACAAATCAATATTTTGTTTTGGTTCCATTTAGCTTAATAAGTTCAAATATTCTTTCAGGCATTGATTCGACTAGAGCCCGGAGTTGTTCGATGCTGATTTCTTCCCAAGATTTCAGAATGGCAGTTTTTAACTGTTCTTTTGATCTAAATTGTTTACCACCCGCATAGACCTTCCTTGCTAGTATTCCCCAAAGATTTTCAATAGAATTTAAATCAGGCGATAACAATGGCCAAGGTAAAACATTGATTTTTTGCGATTTAAGCCAAGTGAGATTGACTTTTACTCGATGAATTGGTGCATTATCCTGCCGAAAGATCCAATCAGACCCACTCATACAGTTACCGATATCAATGAGATGCTTTTTCAACACGTCTCGATATCCTTTTGCGTCCATTCAACCGTCCACAAAACATATTGAACTTTTACCACCCCAACCAAACGACGCCCAAATCATAACGCTATCACCACCTAGCGGACGAGTTGAGAAAATCTCTTCCTCTTTACGGAGATCATGTCAATAGTAAGAAAAACCATCAGGACCATCCAAATTAAATTTTTTTTCATCAGACCAAACAACTTTGTGGCATTCATTGTTCCAGGTCATATGATCTTTAGCCCAACTTAATCGTAAATCTTTATGAGCTGTTGTTAAAGCAGGAGAGTGCTTTTTTCCATCTTTTTCAAGATGTTTGACCTTTTTATAACTCGATTGATTGTCCATCGTGACATTTTTAAGCATAAATCGTTAACAATATTGGCACAAGATATTGTTTTGTTACTGGCGGTTCTAATAATAAGGCGTTTGGTGCGTTCATCGACCTTTTTTCTTCGACCAGTTCGTTTTCTCGAGCCATATTTAAGTGGATCTTTTAAAAAATTTGTTACCACTGTCTTCGACCGATTGATTTTCCTGGCAATTTCTCGATGGGATTTATTTTTCTTGTGTAATGCTAAAATCAACTTTCTTTCACTTTCTGTTAGTTGCATTTCACTGGGCATGTTATAGCTTAAATCTCAGTGTTTTCCTGCGTGTTAATTTTATTCAAAATCACTGATGATTCATTTAGTATTAAAAACCAATCATGTAGTCTTATATTTATGCACCACCAAAATGGAGGTAATTCTAGATATATAAGAAAATGAAAAGACTCGAACTTGAAAATTTTATAGCGCTATTCTTATGAATCATCTATGTGAAATCACTAAAAATATCGCTCATTTTATTTAGTGCACTTTGAAAACAAGTGATCTTATAATTATGCACCACACTGTATGTGCAATATCAGTAACTTGTATTTAGTACATTTCCAAAAATAAAATTTTCTTCTTTTAAAACCGTAATTTCTTGTGTAATTATAATCCTAGAGGTTATGTACTACAAAATGTTGAATAATAACAGATTTTGATGATGAACAAAATGAGAAGAAAATTTGATAGGTCATTACCTTGTGTTAATGTGCCATTGTAGAGACTGTTACATTTAGTTTTTTATCCGAAGAAAGTTTTGTTCGATTAACCAGAGTACTTGATAAGAAAGCAAAAGTAAGAGAACGTCAAATGTTTTTTATCCGTGACTTTACGTCATGAAATGAAAGCATAAAAAAGAATACAAAAAATCGGCAAGGTCATGAGAATAAAAACGTATTGAGTTTTAACTTTTCGTATTGTTTAAATCACGTATAATAGACTTATGAAATAATTCATTGTTATTTCTTCAGTTGCAAGGAGGATCTTAGGAAATAAAATATGGTTTTCGGATGTGGCTGTGCACTTTAAAAAATAGGCGTAGAAAATAAACCATTCAAGCGGGTTCACCAATTTCATAAACCATTTTTATGTACTCTTTTAGGGTTTATTAATCTCATAAACCCTTTCATATAGGGTGTGTGGGGTGGCTGTGTGGGTGTGGGTGTCTTCTTCTTATACACCCACACCCTTTTTAACTAGAAAATCGAATTTCTTATTCCTATTGTTAGAGTGAGAAATATATGTGTGTACGTACAACTTGTACGTTAACTTTATTAACAAGAATGTACTTGAATATAATAGTAGCATCTTTACATAGAGAGAAAAAACAAGAGAACAGAAGAGAGAGAAAGAAGAGAAACAAATCCAGATCAAAGAAGATGAAAAAGGATGGAGAATGACATATATAGATATATAGAGTTTGTATGCGAGCGACATCCCTGTAACACCCATCATTTAGAATATCGTATTTTCAAGAAAGCAGAAATTTATGGGTGAATTCGTATGGACTGTGTTAGAATATCTTTTATTATACTCTAGAACTTATTTTCTAGTTTAAAGTGTAAGTCTTTTTTGGACGGGGATCTAGATGGTCTTCGATGATTTTAGCTGACTTCTGAATTCATACATGTGTATATCCCCCTATAGATGTGTTTCTTTCAGGTGGAGGTCTAGTGGTCTTCGATTGTTACAGAGGTGCCGCTGAAACTTAAATCAATTCGCAAAATAGAAATTTATGTTTCTATGTAACCGATCAACAACAAATTTCCTATTTTCGATTCCTAATCACAATCTTAATCTCTATCCTATTTTTTTTCTATTTATACTGTACAACACACACGCACACCCACACACCCACCCACACCCACACATTGTCTCTTCTTGTAACATTGATACGTGCAGGAATGACTCAACCATTCGAGCTAAAGTTTTGCCTTCGTTTCTGAATCAAGTGTAGTCATCTACTATAAAAATATCAACCAAATCAGTTATATTCATTGATATTAGTGTTTTAACAATAATGTCTTTATTTTCAAAATTCAAGATTTTAATACTGCAAAAGCAATATACATAGCTCTAAATCAGGTGCACAGATGAAAAATAAAAATGAAGAATGTGACGAATATTTTCCAGTGTATAACAGAATGAATCTGTGAAAGTTATTAGACGATTCGGACTATTGATAGTTGTAATCATGCTGTCAATTATCATCTGAAGAATACAAAATATATTATTCGTGTTGAATAAACAAAATAAATCTCACATTCGTCCTGTTCGCGTTTATGGTGACCATGATGTCTGTGGTGACCATGACGCTCATGAGCGAAATCACCGCGATTTTCAACACTAGAGTCATCACCTCCACGGTTAAAACCAAAGTCATCACCACCACGGTTGAAACCAAAGTCATTACCCCCGCGGTCAAAACCAAAGTCATCACCACCACGGTTGAAACCAAAGTCATTACCCCCGCGGTCAAAACCAAAGTCATCACCTCCACGGTTAAAACCAAAGTCATCACCACCACGGTTAAAACCAAAACCATCGTCTGTACCATCTCTGAAACCACCTGTTGCGCCTCCAAAATCAGTCCAAGGGTCATCTTCATCAAAATCTTCGATCGCACGATTTTCACCGTAATCATCATCGTCGTTGTTTCTATTATTTTGGTAATCGGTTGCATCATCTTTATCCCAATGATCTTGCCCAAAATCATCGGTGGGAATCTTGCGTATGGTCCACACGTCAAAGCAGAGATTAGAATCAGTCAGATAATCGTATGGAATATAACAATATCCGTGATCACCCTAAAAAGGTGTGAATATATTTTACAATAATTTCTCAATGTATTCGACAGTATATATAGAATTAATACAACAAATTTAACTTCAGCTTCAGTCAAATCAAAAATGAGTCACTATATGAAATCAGAAAGTGATTTTTCTTTTGAGTGTTTGATATTTGTGTACAAAACTTTTTATTCTCCACCATTCTAAATGACCACATCTTATTTCCTCACCCAACTAGTTCCCCATGAATTTCGAACAATAAACGCTTGTGATTGATCACTATAACCGACTGCCAACAGTGCATGACTAAAAGTAAAAAGTATAGGCTTCATGCTTCTCTACTATTTAAAAACGGATACCTGCCGTCTGATTGCCGACTACGATCAGAATAACTGGGCATTGGCACAACACCTGTTGTAGCGGCTTTGTCAAATGATGTGAATAGACGCAGTCCAAATGCAAATGGAAAACCTTGAGCAAGACATGATTTCATTTCGTGCAAATCAATTTTGATTTGAAGTGCTTCTGTAATTTTGTGATGCTGGGCTCCTGCATAAGCTTGATCGCTTGGGCGGGCGTTAACCATTGATATGTCGTACGGCCATATTGATTCGAGACAGGTACCAAATTCTTCAAGTGCCTCAATACCATTCGTCATTGAGCAACCCGAATCACTAACATTTGATGATCCACTTCCCTTGACACGCGCATTATAGTAGATAAATAAGCGGCTCACGTCAATATTTTGACCATGTTGTTTCTTTGTCAAATACTCATAAGCACCTAATAATGAGAAAACAAAAACTTAGGATAATAAAAATCAATTTCTCACCTGCTAATGCATTTCCCGCGCTGAGAAGAAAATGAAATAAACAAACATATATTATATTCATGAGTAGTGATGATAAATCAAGTATTCTATTACCAACTGCCAATTCTCGATTGATCTTCGACGTCTGTCATGTCGTTTCGAAGATCAGCTTTGGGTGGAAGCTGTTCAGGACTGTAGATTAGATGATCGGTAAATGCTTGACATAAATGTTTCTTCTGTGGCAAATGATTTGAAGGGAAAATACCGTTGATACGACATTTTCGACCCAAGAATTTGTTCAGTAAATATGTTTTGATTGGCATTTTTCAATGGCTACTGTAAAGTACATAAAATGCAGAAATGGAACAGAAATATCTATTATTTGATTCATAGAGGTGTTGGAGCTAAATTTCAATATCTAATATTCATTGTGTTTCGACCAGGTTTTGAATCTAAAACTTTGAAAATACTTAATACATTTGAAAAAGTGTAAGAATGATTATAGTTGAAGAATTTTCAAATTGTTTTAGCATTTCAAAAATTTCAGACTAGAACCTTGATCAAAACAAATAAACATTAAATATTCAGATTCAGCTCCGATACCTTTATCAATCATACATGAATCAAAAACAAATTCTTTTTGTTCTGTTTTTACATTTGGTACATCTTACCAATATGTCGAGTAGATGCGTCTTGTCAATAACAACACTAATGTCGCCTATATATGTCAGTGCTGAAAATAAAGTAAATAATTTAAACAGCAAGAAAATGTTTTTTCTCGTTCTTTTTTCTTCTGTTTATTGATGAGTAACTTCTTCGGGGGCCTACTTCAATAAATTGGTCTACTGCTTTCCTCTTTTCTCTTAAATCGCTTCGAATCACCCTCATTCTCAAAAAAATTCATTTCTTTTTTTCTCGCTTTGACTCTTCTCTTCGGCTATACGATAACACACATTTTATTTCTTTCAATGAAGGCCATGGAATTGTGTCATGATGAATCATTACAAACAAAATAACTGATTTCTACCTTTTAATGATTGTATCATAAAGAATGATTGTCTCTATACTTTTTCTATATTATTTCCAGCTTTCATAGATTAGGATTGAATGTTTTCAATTGATTTAGTATTTGATTCTCTATAAAACTTATATAAATAAATTAATTAGAAAAAAATAACTATAGCAATATGACAAGCGAGCAATTTCAATAGTTTTCGTGTAAAATCTTTTCTTCTTTTGTACGTCTTTGGGTTATCTGATATGGAAGTATATAGATAAATATGGTACCAACTATTTTTTTCAGAGCTTTAAAGTGCTATCTTATCATCAGTATGCTCAACAACTGTCATTGTGAAATTGTATTGCACGCTATAAATATGGCTTCCGTTTAAACAAAACATAAAATATGGACTTTTATTTGAAATAAATAACGTTCATTTAGCATTTATATTAAATATAGTATAGTTTCAAAACGAAAGTTCTTGAACTTACTATTAAGTTTTAAAACTATACAAAATAGATAATCAAGATTGTCTATATAGTTCGACATGAACAGACATAAATACGAGATAACTATACTTTGTCTTTGAAAGTTATCGATGTTGTATGTGTGCATCCGCACTATAGTAGCTATTATGGGGTGCTTGTGATTTATGAACCATTTCTTCATCTTCATCTGCACCTACACCAACCCCACATCCTATACTTTGAATATTTTATTTTCCTATATTCTAATCCTCTGTTTGTGCTTATAAATTGTAATGCAATGTCCTGATGAGTGTTTTATTCTTAAACGGATAACATGATATGTGTCGGCGATATTAAACTTAGTATTGGTTGAATTATTTTAATTCAACCACTTAATCTATAATTTGAAAGCAATATGACTTCGTCGATTTTATCGTTTGAAAAGAATTCACTGGCTTCATTGAATTCAAAACGAATGAGTACATATTTGACTGTTGAATAATATCAAGCACTAATGAAATAAAGCTGAGCTCCCGGATTCTTTAATAGAGAGACTCGGGAACCCTAAACTGAAATCTCTACTCAAGAGAGAATCAAACGATATCTAAATACCGGATAAGTCAGGTGTGGAGTGTAAATGAATTAAAGAAATAATTACTAACACCCACACTCTCATATAGTCAAATCTAGCAATATGGTTACAAAATGGCTGTGAACAATGTTCTTTTTCTAAATCGAATCCCTTCGAAATTATAATGACTTATATGAATTCGTGTGAAGTCACTGTTATCTTTGTCAACATGTTTGAAAACGAAACTAGAATACAAGAAAAACACGATAGTTGGAAAAAACACAAATGAATCATATTTATTTGTTCTTAAAAGCTTCCAACATGAATATTGAAAGGAATGAAAAATTTTAAAAAGCAACGCTTTTTTAACAATAATGTTGGGGATATATAAATAATCTGTTTTGCTCGAACACGCTGAAAAGAAATACTCCTATTACGCAAGCTTTGCTACGGGTATGTGAAAATTTATCATTTCATTCCAACAAGAAATATGTGTGGCCTCATAGATACTTTCGTGATCAATTTCGAGTATTTATAACCATTAAAAATAAATAAAGCAGATATTTTGCTGTGTTGAAACATTCCAACAATGATCGACAATATTGGAGAGTCAATAAAAATGGCAAAAATATTTTGTTTTGCTTCAGGTCAAACTCTGACTATTGATGACGATAAAATCGGAAAAATCCCATATTTAGCTGCTCTTGTTTCCTCTGCGGATTGTTTTGAATCGGTATATGACGAGCATGGTTATTATAAACTCGATCTACATATTGAATATAAATACTTCTCTTTCATTCTTGAGTCAATTTCATTCCATTCAGTTCGACAACTATTTACTCATTTACCTAAACAATATGATGTTATACATATTATTGCTCTTCTCGATTTCCTTGGTATTGGACCACAACCAGATCCTGCACTACGGGAGGTCGATAGCACTTTCTTTTCAAATTTAGTATTTAGTCCTTTCTTAGAAGGATATTTACTGCAAATTAGACCATCGGTAATTCAAGATATGGCCGTTCGATTTGCGATTGCAATGGCTAAAGAGGAATATAATTTTAATGATCATAAAGTGATTGATCAAATATATTGGTTTATTATGTTTATTTTAAGCGCTTACAAATTATTTGGATCTCGTCTTCGTCATCATGTATATCAAATTGCTGAAAATTGTTTTTCTCTTTTCGAACCGTTGCTATTAAAACGTCTCAAGAAACTTATACAGAGAACACAGGAAGGTGAAAACAAATTCAGATCAATTACCAACGAGAACGCCATTGATCCTGATGAAAATAGCGAATGTTCTTTAGAGCAAGCATGGGATATACCGTCTGACGATTGGTGCTGGTTCAGTAGATCAACATTAAAAGAACGACAGGATTTAATTGCTAATCGCACATACACCAGCTATCACACGTATTGGATTTCGAGATCATCTCACTCGCAACAATATATTGAAGCAGCATCTCGACGTGTACTAGAGATCACTTACGAGCGTTTGCAAAGTGCAATATGTCAACGTGCATTAATAGCAATACATAACAGAAACAATTTCAATAAAATCGTGGACAAGTGTGGCAATTTGCTGCTACCTTCGGGTTTAGGAAGCCGTACAGACTGCTTTGTCTTACCGAAAGAAGTAAGCGACATATGGAAACATGAGCAGATAGAGAAAGAAATACGTGAACTTATATTGGAAGAAATCTACCTATTGAAACCCAAACTAGAACAAAGACGAAATGAATTAGTGACACAAATAAGAGAGTATGATCAGAGTCAGGAAATACTAGATGAAGATGCATTTAATCCATTTCATCTGTATCTATTATTTCGATCAACTTTTGAGAGTTTACAAGAAGAAGCTTTATCTTATGTGCTCCTGCTCGATAACTTAAATCAAGGTTCAAGTACAGAAGAAGAAATATATCAGCGTGTACTGGATGGATTATACACTAACGCAAGGAAACAATTTATACAATGGTCGAGCATGCAAAAAACTATATGTAAACTGTATGATAAATTATCATCATGCCAGGAAACAATAAATATTGTTTCTATGATACTAAATACTACATATCCAAAATATCAAATCCCAGTATATAAACCGTTACCAAAATGTCAACGTAAATACTCAATCCGCTAATTAACAATCTTTCAATTATAGCTATGCTTATTCACGAGATTTTAAACAACATTAATTTGAACATCGAATTGATGATTGTGCCTTTAGTATAACATCTTTTCGATCTTTTTTTTCTGAATAAATAAAACTATTTTATGAAGTGCTCAGTAGTGTGATTCAATTTAGAATATTAATACGATACATCTACATTCTCTTTTACATCGATGTCAATTGTTTCTTATTGTAACAATGTGTACATTTTACTTCATAACGAAAGTAATAAAATATACGCGTGACTAGAAAAATGCCAACCAAACCAAATGGGAAAAATCAAGCTAAAAAGATTTTCTTTTCATCACTCTTCATTTCACAGAAGAATTAAAACACCAATGCTGCATAATAATCGATCAGAATCTGAAAATGAATTGATCGTGTCGGCTCTTTTCTTTTAGTCCACTAATACGATTCCTACTGCATGCGATGCAACCAAATCTAAAGTCAAATTGATAATGTTAACTATATAGTAGAGCTCGGATGAATGTATTTGTGTTTGTACTCTACGCATACTTTTCTGAGTATAAGTAAAAGTACCAGTAAAATTAATTTAAAATATATGACGAAAAATAAATGTACTTTATTTTATAAATAAATAACACTGTTTCGATCATAACGTAAAAAAAGATTTTTCATAAAATAATAAATGAGTTATTAGATTTTTTCATTATGCTGTAAGAAAAATCAATTTATTGTTGCATAACACTGTTAGTGTTTGTTCCTTGTTTTATTGCGATAGTCTTCATTGTATGACTATTTGGAGCTACTTGATCTGTTTTTTTTTACCAAGTCATAGCAATACAACTCTACGTATACGTCCTCGAAATCCATGAACAGATATATAAAGAAACAAGACATTCATCGCATTTCTTGTATACATCAATTCATTTGTAGAAAGAAATATCGTGTCCGAATAGTCATAACCGACAATAGCATTTGTAAAAACTGAAAAGTACAACCGATTTGGTATAGTGCAGGCCAGAGCTCGGACAAAAATATTTACAAGTATTTTTACTTGTACTTTAAAACTTGTACTTATAGTTTTATTTGTCGCTGCGCACCTATATTTGTTTATATAACGGTGCTTTAGTACGAAAAAAGTAATTAGTTTGCACTTTACTTGATGCATCAGCACATAGTCGTGTCATTCATAGTGTTTCCTATCTCAAAAATGTTTTCAGGAACGCTATGGTATCATTTGCTTAAAACTTAAATAAAAATCATAATCTATAACTGTAACGTTTTTCTTTCGCCAGTAAGGAATACATGTAAAAATCGTCTATTATCATTGTTGGGTGTGGGTGTGGCTACAGATGCACACTGATCAAACACACCCATACCCTCAGAATTTTAAAGCCACATCAAACGAACTATCTCAACCAGCAACTAATAACTGGCCACACCGATTCTCCAACTACAAATGTCTATCATGGCTAATACAAATTCACCGCATTTCAATAAATATAAATTCGCCGAATTAACGGACAAATTGTCACCTTATATCGATGATCTCTCGGATCACCAAAAACAAATTGGAATTGAAACTCTACAAGATTGTTGTTGAACCAGAAGTCTTCAAGACCTTTCATTCTTATGGCAACAACAATATTGTCAACCAGAAATACCATTAACTTCTCTCTCAATTTTACATTATAATATACGTCTTTTTCATTCGAACCAAGCGAATCTTGTCGAAATAGTAAATACTATCTCTCCAACAATAATATCTTTAAATGAACTTGGTACTGTGGTTCCGACGAAAACATTCAAACAACTTCTCTTCTCATACTATGTGTATGTGAAAGAAGGTACGAATTCTCACGGAGGTGTCGTACTTGCAATAAATAAAAAATTAAAATGCCAACCAATATCAATGAATGAACCAAGTATAATGGCAGTTTGCGTCATAATCGAGGATCACCTATTTATCGTAGGAAGTATTTATTCACCACCTACAGAATCACTACCATTAACAACTATGACAACATTACTGAATGAATCAAGGAACTTGATCCTAGCAGGAGATTTCAATGCCAAACACATGGATTGGAAATGTCCTCAGGTGAACACAAAAGGAAGACTTTTATCAACTCGACTCAACAAAAACAACTTGAACGTTCTCAATTCACGTACTAAAGCATCATTACGTTCTGATACAGCAATCGATCTGATAATTTCCGGTGAAATCCCTGAAACATCTGAAAGTCAATGTCTACCATATGCAGGCAGTGATTGCCTACCGATACTGACAAAATTTTTCAATCTTAATATATCAATGGACAAGCACTTCGTTCCTCGAACGTACTGGAAACTTTACTCGTCAATTCTCTCAATTCTTTATGATCAACTTCAAGCTGAACAAGAAATTCTACAGATGATATCCAACAACTCTTTCCCTTGGTTTCTTATGTTTGAACAGTTTCTAGCTGCTCTCAAACTTGGAGTAACTATATGGAAAGAAGTAAAACGAAAACGACCATCCATTTCACCATCAATATGAATGCTCCTTTAACACAAGCACTACTTACAAAATAGATATCGACATTCAAGAAATGAAGAAGTCAATTAAGATTACGCTCTTGGAATACACTTGTCAAACATGAATTTCAAGCCTTAAGACAACGAAATTGGGAAGACTTCATGTCTAACGTCGCTTCTCCAAACTCAGTATAATTTTGGTGCACAGCGAAAAAGTTGATTAAAAAGAAATCAACGGATTTTTGTGCGTTAATAGATGGAAATACAACTCACAGATCCCCAACTGATATTATTAACTGCTTGAACCAACAGTTTACTTGAAAAAGAAGCTGATGAACTATGGCAATTATATAGTAAGGCAGAAGAAGATGATATCCAACTTAGATTCAATCAATCTGATCTTCAATTTACAGAACAAAATATTAGAAACACCATCCGATCATTAAAAAATAAAAACTCGTCTGGACTTGATCAAGTTTCTAACAAAATGGTAAAACTTTTACCAGTACAATATCATATTGTTCTTGGTGAAGCATATTGGGGAAAAGAATGGAAAACTGCTCGAACCATTTGTCTAAACAAAAATGACAATCCAGCACCGACTACAAATCAATTGCGCCCAATTTCAATGTTACCAACTTTCAGTAAAATCTATGAGAAATTATTTCTCCTTCGATTTCACAGTTGGTTTTCAAGAATGAATATTTATCCGTTCAACAATCAGGTACAAGAGCTCATCAAGCGACAATATTTCGAGTCAACTACTTATTAGAACAACCATTTCAATCTATTCGATACAATTCTTTTTTGCCAGTCATTTATATTCATGTTTTACAAGCGTTCGACAATCTCTGGCATCAAGGATTGGTGTTAAAGCTGAAAAAACTTAATTGTCCTTCAGTCTACCTTGCATGGATTGTCAATTATTTCATCAATTGAACTCTCAAAATTGAGTACAATAATTCACAGTCGGCACCGATCAACGCCAGACGAGGTGCTTCCCAAGGGAGTTGTCTTGGCCCAATCATTTATATTATCAGTCATCATGATCTTCCCCTAGTTTTTGAAAATCCATCACATGCCCATGCATACGTAGACGATATTGCTATTGTCTACACAGCTTCACTTCATCTAAAATATAAATTTCAAGTGCTCGAAATCGAAGAACGCATTCACAAGAAAATGCTAAAGTTGCTACATTACACGAACACATGGTATCAACATCTGAATCTGAAGAAGTCTGAATATGTTGTTTATCACAATTCCACTCAATGTTCAAAGTTAGAAATTTTCTATAACGAAGTGAAAATATTATAAAAGAAAACTTTCAAATATCTTGACTTCTACATTGACGTGAAACTATCTTTTCGTACGATGATTGATGCACAATTTGTAAAATTAAGAAAATGATATGCAATATTAAAATTCATACATCGACAATTTCCTTCATTCACAAAATTAAAGATCAAATTCTTCAACACATATATATGGCCTCACATGTACATGATGGCAACAATTTATTACCTTTTCACGAAAACCTGTAGTGAACGATTAACATCATTCTATCGAAGATGTCTAAGATTGATCCATTACTTATTTCTTTGTCCTACAGAAGATTTACATCATCACTTCCACGTACTTACACTCGAGAAACGATACAAAAAATGTTTACTAAACCGTATGAAAAATATCCAACTATACGAACCATTGTTCATCGAATACGCGTTACAACATAAACACATATACAACATAGTTCATGAACATTATCGTATTAAACCACACCTTAAATATATGCCCACTGGACGACCAAGCAAAAGACTAACTTACTTTCTTAATAATGAGTGTCATACCTATTTTGATCATCTATTGGAATTTGCTCTTGATTAGATCACTTTATTCTATTGCATACACTTTCTTTCATTCCTTTTGAACAACTAACTATTTTGGTACCTTAACTTCTTTCTTTTCTGCACATGTGAATATCGTTGTAAGATATGAAATAAGACGGACAGCGCCACGTGGCGAATTCGTCATTAGAAATAAATAGAGCTTTATAAAAAAAGTCATAGAATCATATCGAAGGAGATTTTGATTCTTTCTTGTCTGCTTAAAATTTTCTAAAAATGTTCGTCCCGTCCCGCCCCACGCGGAGCTCTGGTTTATACTACGTGTAAAAATAAAAGCCAATATGATTTTCAATTGATTACTCAATTGGTACTCAAGAGATTACATTTTTATGCGTATTTAATAGCTTCACAACTCTTTTGAGCTGCATAGATATGGAGAAATTCAATATATACGATCAAATCAAATATCTATCAATTGTTCTTAAATAGCTATTAAATTCTTCTATAGTCATTCAAATACTTATTTAGTTGCTTATTTACGTCTAACACATGATCGTGAGAATAGCTCTTAAAATAAGCGTTAAGTATTTATTGAAAGTTACTGGCTGTTTTCGAGCACAAGATTGAAAATTTGATTGTAAGTATCACTAATTGAAACAAAAATATCTTACAACGGAGGTGTTTGTATTGTAAGCTGAAAATACTTGATATTTTTACATCGGAAGAAAGCTCTCACCGCCAAACTAACAAGGTTAAAATATTAGTTCCCCTTGGCTTGTTCAGAGAGAGATATTCAATTTTTACGGTATTCACGGTTTAGGTATATAGGAGCATTAGGATTATTTTGCATTAATTTTTTAAGTAATCAGCTGAATATTTCAACAGTAGGCATTAGGAATTTTTCTAAAATATATCAATTGCATACCAATATCACATTAGTTTTGATCTCTTCTGGGGCTTAAGTAGTATCGAAATGAAGAAAATATATATGATTCGTTTGAAAAATGACTTACATATATAATATTTGAACTTAAAGTGTATCGATGCATCACTTGATGGTCTATTGACCATTTCTTTGTAATTGGTGTTAAGAAATCGCAAAGAAATATACTATCGAAGAATTTTTCTCTTTTGTTCTCTGTTGCATCTACCAAGTAGAAAAGGCTTATTTTATCACCTTAAAACATGAATGCATTAAACATCGCTAAACATCTTCTCTATTTGACTCAAACTGAATATGGCTCTGAAAATTATGCAACAACAGTCGATGAAATTTTTACTGTAGAACGATTATTTGAAGTTCTGAAGTCATTTAAAGACAGCTACATCAGTGAGCTGTATACCTATGATCCTCTGGAATATGAAGATGAACACGATGACATGACTGATGAAGAAGAAACCGATGATGAAATTGATGATTACAATGAGAATGAATATTCTGATATAAAAGATCATTTTACATTAGAAGAAATGGAAAATATAATCGAATGCGTTGACCAACATTCAAACGCTAGATTTGCAACTATTTCTCATCGATTTATGAAAATCAATTCCATAAATTATATTACAAGGTTTACAAAATATATCGAAAAGAATGGCACACGATTAGAAAAATTAAAACAAATCAAAGAATTTATGTTGAACGAATTTTATTTAAAAAGAACCATTGAAAAAGAAGCCGTTCATGATGCTGGCCTTGAGCTGTGTGTAATTCAAAATGCAAGAGAATTAAATTAGGATACATTCAAGGCATGTAAATCGTTTATCAATACTATCAAAAAGGAAAACAGAATATCATCAAGAAGATATAACAAAATTATTATTCCAATTAAACCAAGCAGAAAACTTTATAAATTAAATGGTATGTCAAATTTTATTTGGTCTTTAAATATATGTCTTAACGTAGTATATTTATGTATATTAAATGCTCGAAATTGGATTGAATCTAAATGAATCTTAATACCAAAGTATTCTTCTCATCAAATTTAAAATAGTGATCACTTCTCATTTCAACAAGAATACGTCGCACCCAGAACCCTTTCTTTTACTGGTGAAAAAACAACAGAAGTAGCTGTTAAAAAGAAATATAATACAACCCATTCTTATAGAGTTCCACCAGTTACATCAGCTAATGGTTATTTATTACAGAAGTTCTTACTCATTCTTCAAGAAAAAGAAAATACGTTCGGTAAAAGAGTGAAAAAAAGTTTAATTGTATCACCAAATGTTGTAGTCAAAGCTGCAAAATCAGGAAAAACTAGTGATGAAAAACGTCACGTCTTTTTAAATGAAGTTCTACGCTCTTTGGTTGGTAAAAAATTTCCTCTCTTCCTTCTGATGAGAAAAATTTTGTTACTTTTCAATGCTACAAAACGCGTTAATATTGACCGGTTTAATGCGTTCCGCAACTGCTAAATCGGTTAAAAACGTCGCGAGATAATATACTTTTCGTTTTCATATCTCATGAAAAAATCCAACATCATGTCCATATCAATAGAACAGAAATGACTATAACTGGTCGTCAATATTTCATCAACATGCATGCTGTTATTCACAACCAATTATCAGCTCCACAGTTTAAAAATCTCATTAAGAATGGATTTATACAAGCTCGAATAGCAAATGAAACAATTGGACATATTGAAAAACCAAAAGATGTTTGCTTCAAATTTTACGCTCTGTACTGTTCAATTAACAATTGCAATGAACGAACACTATTAATGTGCGCTTGGTTCAAAAGGACTCTTTGTTACTATCATTTCATTGAAGGTCTACATCTGCGCTTGTAGTATATTTTGATGAAATAGTATATTATATAAACTAAAGAGTGAGTATATATATAAGTTTAGCGTGAATACTATCGTTTTACTAGAAGAGGTCGAAAACTTTGTACTCACCCTTTCTTGATTTCAGTTGAAATAAAATTGAAACTATTGGTGAGTTAGAGTTTGATAACTGCTAGCTGATTTGCATCTATATTAATACTATTAAGCCCCAGAAGAGATCGAAACTAATGTGATATTGATGTGCAATTGATATATTTTAGAAAAGTGCTTAATGCCTACTGTTGAAATATTCTGTTGATTGCTTAAAAAATTAATGTAAAATAATCCTAATGCTCCAATATACCTAAACCGTGAATACCGTAAAGATTGAATATCTCTCTCTGAGCAAGCCAAGTGGAGCTAATATTTTAACCTTGTTAGTTTGGCGGTGAGAACTTTCTTCCAGTGCAAAAATATCAAGTATTTTCAGCTTACAATACAAACACCTCCATTGTTAGTAACACTGGTTCATTAATTTTCATGGTTTCATATGCTATTGCAAGTTGAGATTTAAAAAAAATTGACATAACTATTTAAAACGTTTGGCAGATGTTTAAAAAACATTCCTTTACTAACGGTCATCGTATTCTTTTCTCGTTGGATAAGCTCACATTCATGTATTTTCCTATTCGAAATTGAACGTATGATATATATATATATATATATATATATATATATATATATATATCATAGATTCAAAATAGATAGCACCTTTTAATTTCAAAAAATGGATGACGAAGTTCGTAGGCAAATACTGACTCTTGCCAAAGATTTAATAGGAATCATCTAGTTTTTATGTTATCGATAATGTTTGTAAGAAAAAGAGCTCATTAGATGTGAGTCTTGTTTATTTAGTCTATCAAAACAAAAAACAAATACATGCATATTCTGGTGATTGTCTTAATAGTTATGTCTGCAATGGCAACACAGCAGGCCATCGTATCGAAAACATTGACGGTTGGCACATTATTTCCGTATATTGCATCTACAAAACCGATAGTAGCAGTAAACTATGACTTTCCTGGGCCATTAATTGAAGCGTATGAAAATGATACTATCATAGTTCGTGTAATTAATAATCTGGCTCAACCAACAACCATTCATTGGCATGGAATGTTTCAAATCGGTACACCAAATATGGACGGTGTGGTGGATGTCACGCAATGTGCTATACCTTCTTTTAGTGAAATGACATATAAATTCAAGGCTCAACCTGCGGGCACTGCATTTTATCATGGTCACTATTTGGATCAATATGCAGATGGTCTCATTGGTCCATTGATTATTCGTCGAAAAGTTGAACCGAATCGTCAGCTGTACGATACTGAACGAATACTGATGGTTTCAGATTGGTACAATGATGTTGCTCGAACCAAATTATCACCTTGGTATCTAAGTGCAAATAATCCAGATGGTAATGAGCCTGTACCTGATGCTATTGTTGTGAATGGTAAATTCTCTAAGTCATTATTTGTGACAACGTCCAATGCAACACGTATCCGTTTTAGAATCATTAATGCTGCAGCATTTTCTATGTTTACTGTTTCAATTGATGGATTACCATTACATATTATTGAACTTGATCAAACAGCTGTAGTGCCGTACACTGTTTCTTCTTTTAGTATCAACGTTGCCCAACGGGTTTCTTTTTATGTGAATTTAAAAGAGTTCAATGGTACTTTTGTACCTCGCCATATGCGACCAATAAAATCAGTTTATATTCGATTTAAAGCTGATGCGGAAATGTATCCAGTTGATATTAAGAGCTATATTGCTCCATATGCAACTTGGCATGTTCCATACCCAATATTTCTCAATCCATTATATCTGGCTATTTTATCATTTGGTTCACAACATTCCTTGCCAAAATATTCTGTCGATCGAACAAGTTCATCATTGAGTAGTCAAGCTTTACCAACACAAAAGGATACTAATATGCTAAGTGCTCGACCTTTCAGTCAAGTAAACAATAGAGTTCCAAATGCAACACATAGGCTAGAACTTGTCATCGCAATTTTTCCAGATTCCCTTAATATTACTCGTGGATATTTGAATAATGTTACATATGGTTCCAATTCTAATAATATTATTAATGGATCGGGTCTTACTCACAGCATGGTATTGAGCAAAACAACACCGCTACTTTATCAGATGGCAACGAATCCTAGGGCAATCGCCATTCCATCTCCTGTCAGGAAAAACAATAGTTCATTACCAATTATACAGAGTGATGGCAACGGACACTACTTAGTTCCGTATCAAGCTGTTGTCGACATACTTTTAGTGAATCAAGATGACGGCGAACATCCATTTCATCTTCATGGTCACAATTTTTGGATCATAGCAACGTCGGACTATCCTCAAGCCGAACAATTGTATAGTACAGCATATCTTCAACGTGATGTAGTGAGTGTACCAGCTTCAGGTTGGGCCAAAGTACGATTTTTAGCCAATAATCCAGGTGTTTGGCTCTTACATTGTCACATTGAATGGCACATGGATGCTGGACTCACTCTAGCTTTCATAGTTGGCCCCGAACAATTAGTAGCACAAGGTTATAACGTTACAGCCAATCAACAGAGTTTTTGCAAATAGCACTTATGACTAAATAACTTGTATATCACAAGGCTCAGTTGTGACCCTCTGCCTTTGAATTATTTTAAAGACAAGCATATCTTCAAATTCCCCGTGATTCTTTTCATGAATTAGTTTAAGCATTTAGAAATGCAAAGTACATGTACTAACCGTCAACACCATTTTAATTCTTATTTTCTTCTATTTTGCTGAGATTTTTATGCTACACTATTCTAATAAAATAAAATTATCTAAATTAATTTAGAAAATATGTAGTTTTTCACACACTTCACAAGATTTTGGTTGTTCTATGAAAACAACTTGAACATTATATAGAATTCAGTGAATTCTTAAATCTATTATTATACCCGGTGATACTGAAGCCATGCTCATGAAACATATGAAAAAAATTGATGCAAATTATGATGAACAACTAGATTCAACTGAATTTACTAATTTCATCATGAGAAGTATCGGACGAGGCATTGCTCTTAAACGCAATTAAAATAGCTTCCTTTTCAAGACATTTTCTCGTTTTCAAATATGTTTAGTTTAGTATTTAATTATTTTATTCAATAAAAGTATAAATTTATATTTTTTCAATTTTTTTTCACATTCTTACGATGAGAGAACCTAAATAAAATGGAAATTTAGATAGTATGATGCACCAACATGGACAATGGCCGCGCCTATCATATGATGCCAATGCCTAAAGTTAATCCGAAGTTGGAAACCTGGCATGCATTTTATTTCTTTCAGTGAAGTATCAAAAATGAAAGTTGCATTCTGGTTCGCAAGATCAAAATAATTATTACAGAAAATGACATTCTTTAGATTTCAAGCCTTTTAAGATGAATTTTCATACAGTATATAATAGTGATCGACCGTTAAATAGATCATACTTCCTCGCCAAGTGCTTTTCAGAGATATTTACTCCCAAAAAACAAGAATAAGTCACAACCCAAATAAAATTTCTTGCAAATCATTGAGGCACATTTTCATCGCCGATAGTCACACCCTGCCCAATAGCTTTGCCAATATTTACACTCAAACATTGGAAAACTGATTCTATTCAACAAGAAATAATAAAGAAAAGAATACCGAATGTACCATTTTTTTATTATTGAGGCGTTTCGTCAACTACTGTTAACTTCATCAGCCAAAATAAAATGAAGTTACATGAAAAACAAAACGTTACATACAAACTATGAGTACTATTGTTCATCTGGACGAGAGAAAAATAAGAGAAGCAATAAGATAATAAAACGTTTTATTATCTTATAAGGATGTGGATGTGGGTGTCTGCCTACTTTTTAGACACACCCTCTTTTCTTTATTATTTCTTGTCACATGCATTTGTCGAATTAAAATAAACAACAATTATTCAGTGATTCTATTCATTAATAATTGTAATATTCAACTTTATTTTACTAAAATCTAAAAACAAGCTATGATAATCAAAAGAAGCTCTATGTTAAACTATAATCCAATGTAAAAGAAAATAAATAATGCCGTCATTTTGGTTTTACCAGTAAGCCACCCATCGAATTAATGTAACTCATGTATCTCCTGATCTCTTTTGTCTATAATCAGAAAATTATGAGAAAAGTCGTCATGAATTGAGAGGCTCATTCATGACTACTCAATTAGATGTAACAGTAGTCGCTATTGCTTCTATAATTGAATAGGACTCATTGATTCTGTGTAGTTTCTTCAATTCATAGCCACTTTCTTTTAATAGCTTCATGTATTCAGCTGTTGTTCGCTCCTTAGCATTCAATACAGATAGCATTTCAATATCCATAATTCGTGCAACCCAATTTTGTCTCTCATTAGGCAGAATAACCATTTCAACTATAAAAACTGTGATCGATCTTGATGGACCACTTTTATTTGCGGAAAGTATATTCTTCAATATCATAACAGCATCTTCATCGTTCCAATCGTGAATGATAAATTTCAGTACGTATGAATCTGCTTGTGGTATCGTTTCAGGTTTAAACATGTCACCTGAAACAAATTGATAGCGATTCGGTTCAATGTTTCTTTGTTGAAATTCATTCGGATGCTGTTCTTGTGCATCTTTAATCACGTGAGCTAAATCAAATACGATACCATTTAATTTAGGATGTTTCTCAAGTAGAAACGCCAATAAACTTCCAAAACCACCAGCAATATCGACTAGTTTTTCAAAATGTGAGAAATCGACTGGTGGGCAAATTGATTGGATGCAATCATTTGAGTATGAAATCATCGCATTGTTAAAGATAGTTGAATATTCTTTGTTTTCTTCTTTCCCTAGATAGTCGAATAGGTCACATTGAAAAGCTTGTTCGAACGAATTTCCATATTTAGTACCATGTTGAATTAAGCGAGGTTGATATTCAGATGCTCTGTGGGCGATGGGACCCAAGTCTAGACGAACCAGATCTCGAGCTTTCGATGGATGATTACTTGTTAAAAATAGTCCATTATCAGTGAGCTGAAAATGATTCACACGTTCTGGACAAATATCAGATTGAGAATTCAAATCACTAACAGACAATTCTTTAACAATATCAGCGTCAGCAACTGCTCTCAGTAGTCGATAAACAAATTCTGCGTTCCAATCATTTCCATTCAATTGACTAAGTTCAGTAGCTGTCAACGACACTTTGTGAGCCGCCATTAGATCTGCTATTCCGAGTTCAGCAAATGTCCAAACAGCTCGTTCCATACAACGATGAAAAACAAAAGACATATATTTTGGCAATCCGCCTATGACTAAGGGAGACAGGATCACATATTTTTCTTGGTCTGCCATAATGAAGTCGACTATGGTTGATTCTGGTGTATCTTAAATGAAACAACTGATCGTGCATAGTAGTAATTCCTTATTTCAAAATTAGATTACCAAAAAAATTGTTTTACATCTAAGGATATTATGGACGCTGATGTATGTATTACGAAAAATACTTACAGACACATTCAAGACACAACGAATCTATTAACAAAAAATTGTCAAGTTTACGAATGAAACTAAAGTGAGAGATAAAAATTGTTATCATACCCTTTTGTTTAAAAAGTACGAGTATATGTTGTTCGTGTTTATCTTCCAATATTTACTGAGACAGTATATGAGTCTTGTTAAGTATAGTCGAATTAAAAGAAATAACGCGAATATTAACTACTCGAAAACGAGCGAAGAATTATTATGAAAGCAAGGCCAGAAAAGAAAATATCTTAGAAAAACCTAATGTGACAATTTTTGATGGAAGAGAAAAGCTTGATGGTGTTATTTAGCTTTATTCGATTCTTCCTATCATCAATCGCATCGATTACATACAAAGCATACGCTTTTATCCTCTTCTTATACGGCATTTTAAGGGCATCATGCAATATAGAGTGCAAAGTATGAAGTAAGGACAAAGAAATAACAACAATATATCAGATTAGAAGTAATGAAAAAATCAAACATGTGCATACAATGCACTACACAAATATCATCACATCTAACATTTAGATGAAATCATATATGATAAAGAACGATATTTTAGCCTGATATCACTCCGTAATTTTGCCTATGAAATGTTTCATGTAGAAAAGAATATCACCATGACAACAGTATAGCGTGATTGTTACATACATTCATGAGAAAGTATTTTATGTTTATAGTATTTAAGGCATGAAACAGTATTATAGTTTCGGTGTCATAACAAGGTTGTATTCGTTTCTTAATCATCATAGAACTAAAATAAATAAAGTTAATGTAGTAGAGTTTTTCGGTACACTATTCATGTATTCCAATTTTGTTGAAATTTGTTAGACACTTCAACTGCTTACGTTTTCGATCACGGGTATTGTTTGCAGTGCGGTAAGTTCGTGGTAGTCGTAAGATCTGTCCTGGGTATATTGAAGTTGGTTGAATGTCCGGGTTTGCAATCATGATGTCTTCGATTGTGCAACCATACCATTCTGAGATACGCTCACATGTGTCTCCGGCAAAGACAGTGTGGCATACCTGATCAGATCGATGTTCATCCAAAGTTATCTTTGTTTTAGGCTTTCTACCTAGTGATAAATGTACTATATCTATAAATTATCTCCGAAAAGAAGTAATTTTACTTACAAGCGCTCGGCAACTGAACTAATTGGTCAACTCGTAGTTTGAGAAGATCAATATCTTGATTTGCAGCTATAATCTCGTCAAGAGTATAGCCATATTTTTGAGTAAGCAGCCTAAATGTATCTCCAGGTACGATTTTATGTGTCGATGTGTCATCTAATTAAAAAAAGAACCACACCAATTTCATCGACTGAAGTTTTATATAAAGTTATTCTCAAAAATATATTTAGATGCGTGTTTCTAGATTATTATGAGGTTCATTATGAATCTATCAAAAGCAACAATCCAATCAAGTTTGTATGGAATTCCGATTTCTATTTGCTTGCTGTAAAATTGAGATTGTGATGATTTTCTGCTTAGTTTTTTGACACCAGAAAAAGAGAAGAATAGTTTAAGCGTTAGAAATATTTAATCGTCGCTATAACGATATTAAGTATTTAGTTTTGCATGGACTGTAAGACATGTACCAGGAAGAAGTAGCACCTCATCTTCTTCGGTAAAGTTTGATTGATCTTTTACAGATCGCCCATCGAATATTTCAATAGAGAAAATAGATCTCTTGCCAGTAGTGCCCAAAAATGCATAAAAAAACCACGGCTTTAATACCTTTCCATCAGGCTGTCTTAATATGCAATTGAGATGTGAATAGAGACTAACATGAGGGCCACCCAACTTTGAATCCCATTGCATAGTATAGAGACGAATAGCGGCTGACTCATCTTGAGTAAGATTCTTGGCATCATGCGCATAGTGTTTCAATCGACGAATGATTCCAAGTAATGGTTGGCATGCTTCTTCCAAGGAGACAAGAGGCTCGGTTGCAAAACCTTTGATAGGCTTAAGTATTTGATTGGGCTCGTCTCCCGCACTGACGAGATAGGTAGATGGTTCGCGTTGAATTGATTTAGAAACCATGTGAATGCTGAAAATATGATTTGCTATATAATGTTTAGTGAAGAAATAATACGCAGTCGTATGCAGAGTAATACACCATCGGGAGCAGTCAATCGTGTCCCACTCATGATATATAGGTAGAGCGTATGAGATCATATACGACTTCCGAAAGGTTAACAAAATAATCCGATAATTGTTTTTAATTTTTTATCCGATGAAACAATAGGAACTTCAATCGATCTGTATCAATTTATGGAGTTTTAATATATTTATCTGAAAATTGGCATGTTCGTGCTATTAAATAAATACCCTATTCAACTTTCGACAAATAGTATCATCTATCGGATGATGTCTAGAATGAATCAGCTTTTACAAATATTGTATTCACGTTTTTCCTAAATTAGATATTTATTTGAGAATTCTCATGCTGATCAATTTTATTAGAAAATATCTCGAATAAAAACTAATAAGTAAATTGTTTAACATCAATAGTTTTAGTTAGTCTCAGCTAAATGTATCAATAAACCATAAGGTACAATAGATGCACGAACTGTCGTAAATATTTCAACTTGGTTGTTTGGTATGATTGGACATATTCTCTTATTATCAGCTCCAATTGTTTCTCGCTGAACTTGAAATTTTCCTGGCATTTGTCGACATTGAAGTACGATGCGTGCATTATAATATTTCTTTGTTATATTCGATTGAAATCGTACTGACGGGCAATAGACTGGATGACCTGAATAGGCAATGGTTGGTGACGTATAAATATGAAATTTTTCATCGATATGCCCAGGGAGTATGGCAATTTTCTTTCCATCGATACGTTTATCGCCAGGTATTAAGAATTGTCGATGAGCAACAATTGATTGCGCTGCTACCGCTGATGTCCCATGATAGGTCACAATCCAGTTACGCCAGATATTATCTACATCGGCGCGTACCTTATCCACTTGAAGACCGAATCGGCACCAACCACGTGGGATAACATAAAGTGAGCCGGCTTCTGTAAGAGTATCTGGAAACGAATCTCGATAACAATTTTTACAGTAACAACGATTAAATTCTCGATTAAATAAATCTTTGTTCCAATTCAAGGATCGAAGGTATTCTACACAAACACTCTTATATTCACAAGAGTGCGATAACTTGCCATCGTTGTCATTTGATGATGGCTGCTGAATCGGACGTCTACGAAAGTCGTGTCCACAATTAGGACAATAATTAATATTATTGGGTGGGGTAATCTCGTGACATGCAACACATCGGCGAGTCATTGTTCGATTTTGATGGCTAAAAATAGTTTCTCTGTGACTATATGCATTGTTTTTTTTTCGTTTTAAATATTTTTTGTATTTACTTTAAAAATACTTGTCGAAGTTTCTTTCTTATTTATTTCTTTTTTTGTTCTTACCTCTTACTCTGAAAATAAATTTTCTCTTAAAAACATTTTACGAATACTCGGTGATGAATCATTGTACACACACTCATTTTGACAACCATTTGGTTTTTTCCAAGTTACCACTACACCAAACGAACGTCTCTATAGATAGCTAAACTGTTGATAGAAGCTATTACCTGATTTCTTTTATGGTGATGCATCTAAATCATACTACAGTCATTACGGCGTTGTCAATGATAAATGTGAAAGGTTGATTTCGTAGAAAAGCGTTTTGTCGGCAGCGAAATTGAAAATTTTCTTGATTGATCGTTGTGATTTATTTATTTGTCAATCTATTGCAGTTGTTTTGCACACGAAGATATTTTATTATTCGTCCATAATTAATATTGTAAAGAAGTTACATTGAATACAATGATAGAAACACAAGCCTAGATTGATAAACAATTGTTCGATTCATACAAAGATCCTCTGCAAATATCTATGTTGCTCTTGAAAAATTATATTTTCATACATCATTATGTATTTTAGATGGGTTCCTCTCCTCCTTCCAAGAGCAATGATGCACCAGCGCCGCCGTTGCCTGGTAAGATTGTTTGAGTTAGCAAATGACTGGAGAAGAAAATAATTAATTCTCAATCTATTCGTTTTTCCTCATAGTTCCAGAAACTATTCAATGTCCCAGACCAATTTGTCTTCAATATTTGAAAGGCTTAAATTTGAATAGAGCCTATTTCAATAAACATATGAATAGATGTTACTGTTCAAACTGCTATGGACCTTCAAAACCGAATGTTTTCATAGCAGCGAATTCAAAATTCACCGTGCCAAGAGGTTGGGTATCGTTTGGAATTCAACTCGATCAAGCATTTGCTTCTGATAAGGGAATATTTAAAAATTGGTATACAACATTCTATGGAACATCAAAAGATAAACTTAGCGAAATCATTCGTAATCGTTTCATACCATTTCCTGGCGATGATCTTCTATCGGGTGAAAAGTTTATTCTCAATCTACCCGACCAAAAGCATGTTTATACGTCGCCTTCAATAAATTACGCTTCTCTAAGCCATATATGTCCCGTTGATCGGATGAACGTTAATGATAACTTTTATGATTTTCAAGTAGTTCTTCGATGTAAACAGAATCCAGCTGATGTACAAAAATTTGCTAGTGGCAAACCGAATGCTTGTGAATTGCTTCCGAATGATAATATTCAATGGAAAACAGATCAACGATCATCTGTGTTACCGATTAGTCTCTTAATTCGTGCTACGAAAAGTTGAACTAGCTTCGTTTTATTTTTATTTTTGAATGAAAAAGCCAATCGAATAGTATAGTATTGAAAAGCTTTTTTCTACTTTTGTTTCACATCAAAATAAATTGTGCTGAATACGATGCTTCGTTCTGAACGTTATGCATGATTCAAGCGAGTAAAATGATTGTATAATAGTTAAACCAATAAAAATCGAGATCTCAACTTTGCGCTACTCACTCATTCATCAACAGCTGTTGTTCTGTGCTCGCTTTTTTCCGTATTGATACAAGAGATTTTTTATTTTCTTTCTCACGGCACAATCATGACTACGTCGAATTTCAATACCAATGTAAGTATAAATGATTTCTTGTTAAACATTGCAACTGGCGATTCATTTTAAAGCCTTTAAATATGATGACAAATCAACCAAATCGTAAATCTACTGGTATATAAGCAAGTTTTCATTTTATCTACTTGTCATAGATTTATTTTTTCTCTTTTTCTTTTCTTTACTTCACATTAGATCTATTAGCTAAAATTCGTCCAATAAAACTCAAGAAACCAGATCTTGTTCAGCCACTCTCTCGTCCTAATACAATTCAAATATCGTCTGGATTCAAGTATACATTTCTTTTATTTTAAATTTGATTTCCTACTTCTAATTATTTAATATTTATGTTTAAGAATTCCTAATACACGAATTCAATCAAATGACAGTCCATCATATGAACCGTTGGTAACCATTAGTGACAATGATGAAACTGAGTTAGTGCTCTTCAATTTAGAAAAAAAGCAGATGTTCTACGAATCCATCTGAATATCGTCCTAGAAATTTTCTTTAAGCTTAAAGAATATTATTAAAAATTAACATAAATAAAAAAACATGTTCAAACAGAAGTATTGCAATTACACTATAATAATTTTCTATAAGTATATTAAAGCAAAAAACGTCTCGTAGCACCGTCTCTGAGGGATTAAAATGTAAAACACGATGTAGCTGTTGTTGCCAATCAATGGGTAGAATATTTCTTTACTATATAGTTTTACGTCGTCCTTCACAAATAATTACTATAGCAAAAACGAGCCTTAATCGATATACGATCTGTGACCTCGCGGAAGAAGGGCCAATGGGTTAAAATTTTTATACTGTATCTAACGGAAAAAAAACATATTCTTCTTTTATTTTCTAGTGGAGAAGATTTTATTTCGCCAATACAAAAATTAACAAAAGAAGAACTACGTGAAGAGCTAAACGCATTTCAATCAACGACAACGAATACTTCCACTCATGCTTTACTTACTAATGATAATGATGATGACACAGGTGAATTACAATTCCGTTCGCAACAACAAGCCAAACGTTCTAATTGTTGTTATCGATTTTCGATTTCTTTCGAAGATAGTTCATGTATAATGTTGTGAATTTTTTATAACATCTGTTTTTTTCTTCCTCGTTGTCAAGTCAGATAAATACTCATTATATATTTATTCGAAAAAAACACAATTATTATTTTCATGTATTTTAGATCATGTCTGATACAAGTAATTGCAGGAAAAAATAAGAAAAGTTTTATTTCGAATGATGTTTCATTTCATATTCTATAGAATCTTTGATTGATATCATTAAACATGAACAAGGACATTTCGATGCGGAATGCATATTATTTATTGATTTGAGTTGTCGAAGTAGGAGATTCTTTTTTATTTATTTATTTATTTATTTATTGTTTTATGAAAATGCCCTTCGATTAGATCTCACTGATGCTAATAGTCTGAGTGTATGCCGTAATTTAATTATATTAAATTTGAATAATAATAGTCTCACTAATGTTCGCGGTTTTGGCACATTGATACAATTGAAAAATCTTTCATTAGCCGAAAATCGGATTAGCTCATTAGATGGTCTTCAATCATGTGAAAGTTTAGAAACTCTCAATGTGGCTGGAAATAATCTGACGGGGTAAGAAATATTTGGCATTGTTTTATGAATCTCCTCGAATATGAATGATAAATGTACTGTGATTGGCACATGTCTGTCTTTCTTTTATGCGCAAGATGATAAAAATGATGATAAAAAAAAGCAATGATAACAATAAGTTTCTGTTGTGGGCTATATAAATGATCGTTGGGAAAACAGAAAAAAAGAAGACAATTCTTCCATCAAAGTCAGAATCTTTCTTAATGAATAAAACAATGTATAACGAATTTTTATCTTTTTCTGATTAATTAAAAAACAAGAACAGCTATTGATATGACATTCTTGAGAGATACTGTTGTTGACTGTTTAAAATAGTAATTTGTCAACACGATCAGTCGTAGATCTTTCATCTAATACGAACTTTGTACTAGGAACCCTTCGATGTTACCCTATATTCTTTTATGGTTTTACGGCTCTAATAAAAACATATTTTGTATCTTTAGGCTGAAATCTCTTGCTCCGTTACTAAATCTAACGCAACTACGATCATTATGTTTGACTGATCGACAAAATAATCTCACAAATCCTCTTTGTGATTTTCCGTCGTATCAAAACGATGTAAAAAACAATCTACCCAATCTTGGTATTTCTCATTTATTCAATACAGGAAGAAGAAAAAACCTCATTTTTATTGCTTTCTTATAGATACACTCGATAATGAATGGCTTGGCCAAGGTTTTCAAGAACATTTGACTTCGCTCGAATCTGCTATTGAACAGTTAGAGACTTCCTATAATATTTCCAAAAGTAAAACAAATGAAAAGCCAACAATTATTATTACAAAAGCCGCCAGTTTTGATCGTTCGGTCCATCTCGCCAATGAAGAATACGAGGAACTATTCCAAACGATTCAAATGCTTGTAAAATAAAATATAAATTTAATATAAAAACAAAATATAGCGAGAATTTACTATAATAATTATTTAAGCAAAAGAAGAAAAAAAAAGAAACACAATACAAGTTAAATAAAAACAAAGCATAGATTAAAATGAGTCGAATTAAAATGTGTTTATGCGTGTTTGTTTGTCTAAAAAATATTGTTGAAAAAAAACATGCCACTAATCAATATAATATTATAATAATAATACGATTAAGAATTTACTTTCTTTATGCATGATATGTTTGTGTTGTTATTGCTTGATCATCGTGTAGAACAACTTGCGTTGGTCGGGTTTCATCAATGACAATTCCTCGTGTTAAGGGCACTGTTTCAACATTAACCTCTTGTGGTACTGGTACATATTCAGTTTTAACTGTTGTTGTTGTTATTGTTTTTACTTCTGGTCCTAATTTTTTGGCCGAAAGAAATGAAAATGCAAGAATTCCTGCTACAACCAATGCAAGTATCAAAGCAAGAATTGATAGGACAGTTGACCAACCGATGCAGGCACGTGTATTTTCAAAAACTTCATTAAAACCTACCAATGGGCCATACGCATTGTATAAAGGAGCTGCTGTTGTTGTAATTTTTGTAGTGGCTTGTGGTGAACGTGGTTCATAAGCCACAACGTTCAAACTTGAATAGGGCAATTGAACCCATGCACCTGCTTGTTCTGAATATTGTTGAAAATGTGTTTGATTATATGGATGTTGACCAGGTGTTAATGAATAGGCTCGATAGGTTTCATGAGCTTGACGACGAACAATTTTATGAGATAGAGCACGAAAATGTTGAGCAACTTGGTTAGCAAGTCGGGCATGTGTATGAGGATAGGTGTCGGAAATTGTACGTGTTTCACGTTTGATATAGCTGAGAAGTAAAATAAGGCCAAGTAAGAGAAATAGAAATGCAATAAATGATAATAGAATGCCAATTGGTTTGAGTAAACCATGATATTGTGTTGAAAGTAGAGCACTAACCAGGACAACAAGACCAAGTAAGATTAATGCAGTAATTTCAAAGAAAATAATTGCATTCCAATGTGGATATCGTCGACAATGACATTGTCCTGGTGAGTTAATACGATCCGAACATGTAAGTAATGAACCTCGAAGAGTAGATGTTTGTGATAAACATTTATGTAACTCTTCATCACCACTATCTAATCTTGGAAAACGTGTACTTGCCAATGCATCAAGTTGCTCATCATTATGAGCAAAGACTTTAATATGACGTGAGAATAAACCGTAACGTTGTTCAATGCGACTATCATCATAAACATTTACTGATGCAGGACGATCCTTAGCAGTAAATATTGGCTGAAGATTGGTTGTTTGCCATTTCCAATTATGACTGATAACCGCAAAAAATTGAAGAACAAAAGCAGTTATTGCCAATAGTAATGCAAGAATATTTAATAAACGTATAAGATTCTTAATAGCAACAGGATCTGCTGGAACTTTTGCTTTGGCTTCTTTTTTAGTAGTAGTAGCAGCAGCAGTCGCCGTATCTTTAGTTTTCTTTGCCATTGATTTTACTTGCTTGCTTCAACAGTAGGTTTTTTGTTATTGTTATTATTTCTCGTGCGGTTAAAGGAGTGGTAGTAGTAGCAATACGTTAGTCAACGCTCGATTAGCCTGAGACTCTCATCGACGTCTTCGCTTGTATTCTTGGTCGCACAAACCCTAGAGAGAGAGAGAGAGAGAGAATGAGAAAGAAGAGAAGTAGAGAGAAAAAGAAATGATGGGCGCTCGCTTTAATCTAATATCATATCTCTGTCGTTATGCATCCTTCATTCTCTCTCTTGCCTCGTCTATTCTATTCGCACGTACAAACAGAAACCTATAAATTTGACCACATATAACATATACAATTACTTCGTGGACGTCGTTATTCAGGAAAAAAAGAGAAAGATGCGAATAAGTAAGCCGAAACGAGAGAGAAATGAATGAAATTATGATTAATCGCGCCTATGACGCTTACTGATTCCCTCTCCCCTCTCCATTGGGACAAATGCGTTCGCAGAAAACAAATAGATAGACTCCGTTCTTTCCTACTGAAAAAAAAAGAAAAGGGAAACAAGGACATTTCTTTTTATGGCTGCCTACCTACTGGCTCATTTCTTTCCGTTTGTTGCTTAAGAAGAGTCACCAATCAATCTAAATATCTATCTATGCTTGAGTGACTGATCATATTGGGTGTGAAGAAAAAAAAGCAAGGTCTATTTTAAATTCAAAACGAAAGAAAGAAAGAAATATGTTTCCTAGTGCTTCTTTCAAGTCATAAATCGTTTATCTTCTCCTTGCCATGATTATCAATAATCAATATATATATATAGAATAAATAAGGAGAAGAATCTTGATGATTTACATATATGAACTCGCAAAGCGAATATGTTGATATGCATCATTTACGCCCAAAAAATCTTGCTACGTGATGTACGCACTATCACTTGATCATTATCATCATTCGTTTCATTTAATTAGTTACGTTGAAGGAACATCGCTATTAACGCCGTAATACAAAAAAAGGAGAAAGAAGAAGACATATGTAACAACTATAAATGATTTAGAACTTTTAAAATAAAACTATTACTCAAGCAAGCATCTAATAAAGTATATATATATATACTTTTAGCAATGAACTTCACATAAGTTTCTTACATCATTTTCCATAATGAAGTGTTTTCAATGTATCATATATACAACGGTCCATAAATAGTTGCATAATAAGAACCAATCAGAATAGGTCTCCTTCAGTTCAATGAAACGGGTTGATTATTTGGTTAATGATAAGAGATCTACTCAAACCTTGCTTTTCATAAGAAGAAGATAAGTAATTATTGTTTGGAAGTATCATTATTAAATTTGCCAAAGAAATGTAACCAGTTGACACTTGAGAGACATAGGAAAAAACGACATTAAACGATCGACTACTTTCATTTCTCGATTGTGGCAATAATAGGAATTAATTCAAATAAATTTAATTATGAATGTCGTATTGACAGTCATTGAGAAAACTAATGCAACAAATAAATTTAAATGCTGCAGTTGCCGAACGCACGTACGCACTCACATATACGAAGTCATGCATACATCAACTTTGAATAGAAAAAAACAACAACAGAAAACTTATTGGGTGTAGCAATTGAAAATTTGTAATTGTTGATCCTTAATTGAATATATCTATTCTAATAGTTCGTTCAAGGTCGGTAAATAAACAAATTTATTCTATTATGTTAGTGTCTAGCTCACAAATAAGAATTGAAAATTATCGATAGTTCATCTCATATAGTTATTTTTCTTCCGCTGAAGTGTCAATTGATTATATTTCGTCTCGAGTAAACTTAATAATGATATTGGAGGATAGTTATTGTTTATTTTATTCGTATGACAACAGCGACCGAATAGGTCTTTGACTATCAAGAAACTAATTAACTTGCTCCATTGAACTGAAGGGAATCCAAGGCGATTTTGTTTTGTCGTGTGTGGCATTTATGTGTGGCTCTTTATGCTTATTGAAAGTATTCAGTAATCGTTATGCAAGATAACAATGCGATATAGTAGTGCGAACATTCTGAATAGCAACTGTGCTGTCTTCACAGATGGCGAAGGTCGCGACAGATGCTACTGGGAAAACTAATTGATCGTGAATAAGACGTTTCAATCAAATTTTTATACATTTATAATTAGTTTCTTTAGTAAATGAGGAGTTGTTAATAGTAGTCCTATATTTATATGTAATTCCATGTGTCAATAATCTGCTCTTTAGATTATTCAATATATATCGTTAGCAGAAAGAAAAACTCAAGATTAACGATGAGAATCCAACAGATGGTTCGATCAAACATAATATTATTTGAACAAAAAGAAACTTTGAATTTAATCTGTTTTTCTTTTTCTTCGATAACGTTGGTCTTTTCTTTCTGCGTATCCTATTGCGATCATATTTTGTGATTTTCTGAATTGAATACAGAATTATTCTGCTTATAAATGACTCAAAGGAATTTCAACGGAGTTCTTATTTCCTATGGAGAACTATTATTATATGCGCATAGATAATTACAAAATAATTCAAAGAAAATTTTGCAAAACAGACCATGCACAACAAACATACTTTGATGAAACAGAAATAGATTTCCGCTGCATTATTCTTCTTTTGTTTCGATATTTCACGTCTAGTGTTACAGAAAACTTGAAATATATTTTTTACGAATTTTATTTATAACCAAAGCTACAATATTTATCTTGTTGGTTAAGGCTAGCTCAAAGCTATTTTTACGTACAAATAAATAAAATTGAATAAAATTTTGTGTCGGAGTAAAACAATACAAAAATATATATAACGCGAGGATTCTAAAAATATCTGATAACAATACAGAGAAGATCAATTAGTAGATAGCTTTGGTCCCAATTGGCAAGGTCGACATTTTCCAAGACCATACTGCCAAGCTTTCTCAATTGGTATTAGCTGTTGATCAACGATGTAGAATCGATAAGCATTTGTTGATGTTCGATAAAGAAAATCATTATCATTATCTTGTGCATTAGCATGATGTAAGCGAAAATATAAAAGTTTATTTAAATACAAAGGACCCGACGTTACATGTCCATAGTAAATAATTTGACCTAAGTTATATTTATTTGAATGTGGCTTGTAGTCAAATCGAAAGGTTGCATTTTGTTCGGTATTATTTCCATGGTATTGATTGAACTCATTAGACGATACGACAGATAAATGTTTTGTTGTATGATCAAATTTAAAACATTGATTCGGTGTTCGATCCGATAATGATCGTTCAAAGCAAACATATGGTAATTTAAATGCTACATGAACGGTTGTATTTGTATTGGCCATGACATAATCGATTTCAGCCAGTTTCATGTACGACTTTTTATAGTGTAGCTCTGGCCACGATAGATAAATACCTGAACGAACAATATATTTTGTGTGTAAATATTCATCGTGTACACGTAAATTATTCAATGAGCCGGGTATTGATATGTATGATTCATGACGATAACGGCCAACAAATAGCATAGCTATCATGATTGATAGAGCTAAATTTAGAATCCAAACTGGAATTAAAAAGATCGGAAAACAAACATATAAACGTTTAGCTCGACACCAATTTGGTATGTCACTTGACTTGACATCGTTACGTAAAAATGTATAGAGATTATGCAGTTTCCATAGAGTAACAAAAATAGAAAATATTGCTTTAAATAATGACGACATTTTAAACCAACCATCACGACATAAATTTAAACGAAATATAATTATAATCTGAGGAACTTCTTTTGCAATAGCCCATAGCAAATCAATTGTATACGAACGAACACGAAGACATTCTTCAGCTTTCAAACAGCCACAACAAAATATTAACAGGCCTAATTGAATGCAAGCAATGACTATACCAATACACGTAAAAAAAGAATATCTACAATGAAAAAATTGTTCTTTTTGTAAATAAAAACAAGTTCAACGAAGGACAACAAAATCATCTTACGCTGGTAATATCCATCCTTCTAATTCACAAAATACAAGACCACTTTTAATACCACGGTTCTCTTCGATAAAATATCCATCGAGCATCAATGACCAGATTAATATAACTAAATTAAGAAAAACACTTTGCATGCACACGACACATGAGACCATAGCTTGAGTTTAAAAAATGACACCAAAACTATGATCTATTTCTGAAATGAAATCAATGAGGTGTAGAAAAATAAAGGAATGTGCATGATTAATCATTCATCATTAAACTAATGTAATACTCAAGTGAATTCAATGAAGCTTAATTAACTTGACATTAGTCAAAGACACGAGTCATCGTGACTGTAAATTATCACAACGTAAAAGTTTAATGAAAAGCGAACAAAACTGACTTTCAGTCATTTTAATAAATACTCATAACGTAATCCTGTTCTTTAAACAAGATACTTTTTCTCTTCAATAAAACAATTGAAAATCTGATTCTATTTAGCCATAAGCTAAAAAAGATTTTAATTTTGTATTTCTCTAGTTAAAATAGAAACAATTAATAATGAACAACAATGAATCTTAATTCAGAAGATGAGCGATTTTCCTTTTATGAAAGAATCATCGCATAAATGGGAACAAACAAAATGCATTGATTCTATTGCTTCATTTTTCCACCAATAATTGATTAACATACATCCTCCCTAATGAAAATTTAGTAAAATCTAATATTGCAGCGTAATAATCAATTACTTTCATTTATTTATTTTCCATATAGTATTGACTAAATGTTGTTGTTGTTTTTTCCCTTTTCATACATATCAAACAGCTGTTGTTGTCTTTGATGTTCGTGTGTTTCATAAGTCAAACCTATGGTCAATGTTAAATATTCCATCATTATGATCCGATCAAAAGACAGTTTCGTTTTTATTTAAAGCTAAATCATAAACATGAATACACCCTGTAGTTTAGAACATTGTCATACAAATTTGTTTGCTTTGGTAATTACAAAATAATAAATAAAAACTTCAGCATCTATTTCACTATTTTTTTTAGCAAAGTTTAAATGATATGAAATGGAAATGTTTTCGTCGATCAGTGAATTATCGTTTAGAAACTAATCAGTTAGGTCGAATAGACAATTATAAAGATCCAGTTTTAGTTGCATACTGGCATGCACTGCGTTCTGATATTTTATGTTCATGGAGGCGTGTACCGACTAATGATGGGCAAAAAACGGAAAGAGAACTTTGGCTATTCGGTATCAATGAAGATCTACCTTCAGATTTACTTAATTTAAAGCGTAAGAAATTTCAAAGAAGAACTAGGGCAACTATGATTGTTGTCGTTGCCTTTTTTAGCAATCAATGAAGCGCATGGGTCATGGAATGAAAGCGTGATGTTATACGATTGTAGATCAATGTTATTTAAAGCTTTACATAATATGATTGAAAAGTAGAATAGAATATTGAACAAATCATTATTATACTATGATTATTATTTGATAGATATTTACTGTCGAAAGGTTTTGCTCGATTGAATAAATGGTTTGTTTTACCAGTTAATGATCATTCCGATGTGAAAGTGTATGTAGAATATTTACGGTTGGAACAAAAGAACATATTTTCTATTGATTTTTAGGCCGAATTGCTCTTTTAATTTCAATTTTTTTCTACACGGTGATAATAAAGTATGCGCTAGTGTGGACGTACAACGTCATCAACATATATTTAATCTTACAACTAAAGATTTGGAACGAACTTCATCATCAAATGGTAGACTTAGCTTGTTTTTTTCAATCTATAACAATTTATTCTATAGTTATTTTGGCACCGTACGGTATCAATGGAATGCTTATTGGCCCTGTCAATAGAGACATAGATATTAATTGTTTACGTGAGAATTGGGAAAAAAGCTATCCGATTCGACATTTAGATGGTTTGCCTGATTTTGTTGAAGTTACCACAGGTATATGAGCTTTTTACTTGATCACTAGAAGAATTTTGAAATAATAAAAATGGCTGCTATTAATAATGGAGCGATTACTTTCTTATAGCTATTATACGACATATTTTTTACCATCCGTCTCTTTGTTACGATCTTTGACGTGCGATGGAGGATAAAGTGAAAGGAACGTTATATGTTAAGACATTTAACACAGCCTGTAATATCATTAAGAATGAATTCGAAATAAAACAATTTTCTTTCTCATAGCTATCCATATTCAAAATTTCTACTTTACAGGTAATGCTCGAATGTTCTATCCAACCTGTTATGTATATAAAGTTGGTTCAAATGAGGAGTCGCCTCCAAATAATGAAAGTGCTTCAACAAACAAAAAGCCGAATTCATCCACATCGAAAAAACCAACACCCACAACAGCAACAAATGCACCTTTAGATGCAACTGCAAATAAAAATAAATTTGATAGTTCATTTATAAAAAAGTTTGCTAATAATTTATTAGTAACTGCACAACGAAATAATTGTACTGATCTCGAAAAAAAGTAACATCGAAAAAATCTATCCTTTTCATAAATAGCTGCTCTGCTCTTTTTTCTGCCAGACAAGACAATAAGCATAATGATACATGTTCAGCTATTGGTGATCCAGCGAATCCTCATTTATGTCGATGTAATCAAACTTTGCCGAACAATAATCCTTCGTCGCCATTTGTTCCATTTCATCGTCGTACTCGTGCAACTCCGTCTAATAACGGCGAATCATCTATGCGAACGAAAACAGACCCTGTTAAATCTGAAAATACTTCAGAGTTCATCGAAAATCATGATAATCAAGTAGAAACCATTGTATCATCAACCATAACAACTAATAACCAACCAACAACAAATGAAAAACCAGTCGATTGGATCGCAACTACACCGAATAGTGTCGGTGTCACCGGTTCATCACCAGTGCTTGCTCCAATTACGAATCTAAGTTCTACTACAACGAGTTCTCCTGCACCGAATCCACCGGCAACACGTGGCATTAAACGTTCAGCGGCGAAAGCATTCGACGAAACGTTTATTGAAGATGATGAACCAGAACATCAAAAGCAAACATATGATTTTTTTCGAACTGACTCATTGTAAGATGTTTATTGCTATTCGAATCTACTGTTTTTAGTTGTTGATTGTTTTAGTTTACAATTACCTTTAAAACGTTTTCGAACCGATGATCGATCGAATCTGAATGAATTTGAATCAACAATAACAACTTCTGAACATGTTTATCAACATGGCCAACCTACTCCTCCTAGTCCTAGTCAAATATCACTTCGTGTATGATTTCATAGAAATAATTTTATCGATTTCAATGGGTTTCCTCTTTTTGCTCGCACTTTAGGCTAGTTATGATTTTGATGAAAACGAAGATTCGACATATCGAACAAACAATTCATTGTCGACATCCTATAATAATCGTTCGAATCAATCATCATTTTTTATAACAGATGGTCCATCGATGGCTGACCTTGAAACAATTATTGATTCACAAGATACAACAGATAATAGAAATACGACGATGCATTTGCATACTACTTCTGATAATAATGTTAAATCACCAAGTCGAAAAGAAAATATTCTTCCACCACCACCTCCTATTCCAAGTATATTTATCAATAATAGCAATATGTATCATTTTAATAAATCATTTAATGGAGGTTTGTTCGATTTTAGCTATCTTAAGAGCAACAGTCAGCTAGGTAGCTAACTGCCGTTTGATGAGAAGATTCAGAAAGGATTCTCCAAGTTCTTTGTAACTAGAGGTAATTTTGTATGAAAAAGAAAAGACTTTCCCAGTGAACATGAAATTTTCGCCCTTCTCAAAGGCTGCTACCCACCAAAATACTACATCAATAAACCCATTTTTTTTCTCCGTATATTTGAAATCATTTTTATTTTAGTTCTCCATGAGATGGAACAGATCTACAATACGCCACCGGGATCATCGTCATCGGAAAAACTTCAAGCGCTGCATTCTCCGTATGGCATCATGATTGACACTTCGATTCATGGAGTAAATACACTTGATGCATTGAATCATTTTAGTCAACAATCTATTCTTGTTCCATTCGAATCAAATTCTGTTGCGGAGCAATCAGCTTACTATCCCATTAGTAAACTTTCAGTAAAAAACTTTCCTAAACGCTATGAACCATCGAAATCTTTATCTCTAACATCATTAACTTACCATAGACCTTTTCGAAACTGGAAACATGTGATTCCCACCAACGATGTGTCGTCGAGTCCATTTAATAATCAACAAATTCTTCGACAACAAGCTACACCACGTTCATTGGCAACGCCATCCTCTAATCTCTATTCTCCTATGCGTTCCAATGATATACAATTATCCCCGTATCCAAATCGATCTATTAGTAGCGTTCAAACAATCAATAGTCCAATGGGAACGATCCCATCAACAGTGCCCGAAATTGATTCTTTCATATTTAATGTTTTACTTAATGATAGCATTTTAAATATACATCGCGATATTAATTTTGATTCGTGCGTTTTATGTGCTTGTAATTCAAATGAACTATCCATACATGGTAGCGATTCAATTGTATATTTAGAAAAACCACATGATAATTCGAAATTAACTCATTCACAAATGTATCCACATCAACAACAATCACTCTATCAACATACGACACAACATCCGCAACAGCAAACAACTACATCAATAAATAATTCATGTTCATGTGGCTTTTCAGCTGTTGTAAATTTACGTTTAGGTCATTCGTCAGGACTGTTTTATGAAGATGAAATTGAAATAACAGGAATTAAAGCTGATATCAAATATCGTCAAACAACAGATCAATTATCAGTAAATGTATTGGAACTAATTGAACGCAAAGAATGCCTATCGTCGCCATTCGATTATTTCAACAATCAATATTCGCCAAAGCAAAATACACAAGATACCCTTGAAATATTAAAACAACCATTTCATCAACGTAAGTCATACATTTAAATGTCACGCTTTTCTTCGAAGGTTTTGACACACTAGTTGCCTATAGGAATTGTCAGAATTTGAAATTTTGCTCTCTTTGGAATGTAGGACATGAGAAGTGGGCTTGCTACTTTCACAGCCATTAAAGTTCGCCGAGTTCACATTGACCTGATACACACACATATTCGAATGGTTCTTTTCACTTTTAATAAAATATTCTTATCTAAACGTGATTCGTCCATCTGATAATTACCTATTGAAAGACATTTATGAATCTTTAGATGAAAATTGGGCATGTCGCTTGGCGATTGACCAAGCACGAAATAATGTAAATTTCTTAATAGCTGATGATATTGAAAAACATCATTGGCTACATCAATGGTCCTATTTAACATGTAAGAAAACATTTAATTTTCTACGATTATTTAATATTATAATTATGTAGCACCACTTGATTCTGATCAACAATTAATTGTTATGCTACGTTCATTACAGCCTTTACTCGTTGAAGCTTTAAAAAAACGAAACGTAAATGGACTATGGAGTACTATTGATGGTCCGTTGACCTGGAAATCTTTTCATCAATTATTATATGTACAAAATCAGCATGCACATCTTGAAGAACAAATAAGCGGACCTCAACCAATTCCATATGTTCTGGCTGGCCTTGATCGCGAATGGATTATGTTAGCACCATATGGCTTAAAATTTTGGGATAAATTATGTCTTGAACCATACTCAAAACGAAAGGATATCGGTTATATATGTGTTGTTCCTGATAATGATTTTATATGTTCAACGACCAAAACTTATCTTCGCGAACTATCTGCACATTATGAGCTGTGCCGATTAGGTTTACATAGGCCACTGTTAAAAGCATTTTCCGATCAAGGACTTTTACGTATATCACAACAGAATAATGATACATCCCAACTTCCAAATGTAGATCCATGGTTTACGAATCATGAAACCACGCATCCGCTTGGCAGTCGATTGAAGTTATATGCTCAAACGCTTAAAGATAAAATTCGTAAGAAAAAGTTTTTTTTCCCTGAACAACCACAGTATAAACTCATTTTCTAGTCAATATTCTCACTACAAAAACATTGGATAACACGTTATTAGATGACAGTGCATATCGTCGTGATTCATTTCGCACTCCAAACGACATGTCTTCGTCGCCATACGATAATCATTCAACGAACAGTGACCCAGCAACGAACAGTTTTGCCTCTTCACCTTCCTATTCCGCAGCAAGTAGTATCTATACAACAGGATCAGTAGCAAGTGATGCTCTTGGTTCATCGTCGACTAATCTCCTGTCATCAACGAATGGTACTATGGTAAATGGCCAACTAGTTGAACCGCTTGATTTACAGGCATTTGAATCGCATTATCATGGCCGTTCATTAAACGATGAACAATTATTTATTGTCATTTATATAGTTGATACATTTCGATACGAATTAATGGGATCGTCAAGTAATGGTGAAAATGAAGATATTCAAATTGATGAAGCCATTGATATTTATGTAAAAAAAGCAATTTTTCGTGCTTATATAGATCTAATTAAAGATTTACCGGAAAAAATCAGTAATCGAGTTAATCTTCAAGTAAATTGAAATATGAAATTTGTTTTTTCAAATTGAACTTCGATATTCATTTCATTTAGATCATACCATTCGAGTCAATTATTAATCAGCAAATTGAATCCGATGCTGAACTTCGTTTAACACGATTAAAACGATTATCATTTCATGTTTACGATCAATTGCGGCAAACCGTTTCACAAACAATACGAGGCAAATCTTTAACGGGCTTCGGTCCGGCAATAACAGACGAAAAAATGCCAGCAAAAATTGTAAGATCAATACAAACCGTAAATATTTGTTTAAATATTCGTTCTTGGTTTTTAAGGTTATGCAGCTCTATACACCAGCATACATTCTCTCGCCGAAATCAGATTTTCGTTTCAAATCACTTATTGATATAACTGAACAGACTAATAATAACGGAAGTATTTTATTTTGTTCCTATTGTTTATCGGATGATCAACGATATCTATTAACATCGTGTACCGATGATCGAGGAGAATTATTAGAAACATGTTCAATTAATATTGAAGTACCAGATAGGTAAATAAAACAAAAATTATAAAACAAAAATTATTTTATTCTTAATGTAGACACAAACGAAAAGTACAATATGCTCGACGAGTCGCTTTACGAAAATTATGGGATTTTATCATGCGGATTATTACCAGTACAACAATGCCATGGAGAATTGTCATCGGCCGATTAGGAAGACTGGGTCATGGAGAATTAAAAAGTATAAATCAATCAATAAATGGAATGTTGAATATTTTCTCTCTCTCTCTCTGTATAGGTTGGGGAATCATATTATCGAAAAAGAATCTTGTTCGCTGTGCTACCTTAATACGTGAATCTTGCTCAATGTGCCATATTCTACGTAGTCATGATCATCCTGTTATTCTATCGGCATGTTTAGTCTCATTGGAAACACATCCACTGTTAGCTATTCTACCAGAATCACTTGAATTAGGTGAAATGCGTGGAACGCAACCATCGAATAATAATTCATCAATGATGCAGAATGGTGGACAAGTTCTAAGTGATGTTTCAGTGACACATATTCTTACATTACCAACATCAGCATCTGTGCAGGTTAGTTGAAAAGGAGAAAAAACCGGTAGCATTTCTTGAAATAAAATATTTATAGCATGTTCAATCCATCCCTCGACTAAGCGATCCTCGTCAAATATCAATGGATAATGACGATGATTTATTCAGTTCAATATTTGGACCTCTTGACGGTGACGATTTCGGCAATATACAATCCCCGCCACCAGATTTAGAATTTCCGCCTACCGGTGTTTTTGATGTGAATCACAATGGAAATCCAAATGGACCCATGAGTCGTTTAAATAGTCTATCCATCTCACAGCATAATTACAATGGAAATGATCAATATGGAAATTCTCTAAATAGTTCAAATATGAAATCGAATTCGCTCCTTCATTTAGATTCCGACGTTGATATGAACGACATACCGACCTTACATCAGCAACCACTTGCACTTGGTTTTTATGTTTCTACAATCAGTACATTAAATCCTTTGCCAATATGGATGTTACAAGGTAGATGCAATCAACGACTAAATAATACATCAAGCGTATTCAAAGCCACATTACATGTTAGTGTACCTAATGCTCAACATTCAGATGACATGTTATTTGCTCAAAATCATGATCAAAAATCGATTCATCCACTTGATTCAAATTATACTTATGTTGTACTTCGGTCAGCCTTTTTTGCTTCTGAATCTTCATTTCGATTGCTGAATTTCATTTTTTTAGACATGTTCTTGAATCTTACAATCGTTTATCGTGGTTACTAATCGATGCTAAAACTAATGAACGTGCCAGTTGTTTACCAATTCATATGGAAACGTTATTAAAATTATACCATGCGTTTATTAAATTTGTATGATCCAAACTTTCACCTTTTTAGCCCTATTGAAATATCATACGTGATCTTTTATTATTATTATTTTCTTTCTTCATATAAGTGAATAAAAACAATGAAGACATTTCTCATTCTAATTTAGTTTCTTTAGCGTGTGTTTTATGTGCTCATTCATTTTCTTCTTTACTTTTAAAACAAAAACAGTTGTGCATTGTTGTTTTTTTGTCATTAATTGTGATCTGACATGTTCGTGAAATATACAAAAAAGAAAACAGAAACAATTCGCATATATATATAAATATATTTTATTTATTTTTTGCGTTTCTTGTATATTTGTATATAGTGTGACCATTTCTACTTGCTTAACTATGTTTTATTTTTCTTTTGAGCAATGTTTCTTTTTTTCTCATGGTGAACATGCAGAAGCAGTGATTGTTTTCTTTTTTTCTTTCTACTACGACTGTTAACCTTACTTTCGCCTGTCCATATCTACGATCAGACAGTTGCTTTGTTTTTTTTGTTTCTTATTTGCAGTAAAAAATTCTATCATGTAAAAGCAAACTTGAAAGTTTAAGCACTATGCTCATTGAAGTTATGTGCTGTAGAAACCTTAACCGCATTGTACTCATCATTGTAACGGAAAATTTCAGTATGAGATATAGGATATGTCTCAAGTGAGTCTTTGATTGTGAAATGGAACTGCCCTGTCATGGCCTATGGTGCTCCACAATATAAGAATTGTTTTTTCTTGCGTTTATTATCATAATAACATTTAACGTCATTCTGTTCTTTTTTTTCTTGTAAAAGTTAACACATATATTTGCATCAATGATAGACATTTTTCTTCGGTTTTTTTCGTTATTAAATAAGAAATTGAATTACTTAGTAAGTGAAAGAGTAAGCTATGCCTTTTAATTTGCCCTTCTATCAGAAGAACCAGATATATTTGCCATTTTGTATTTTTAACAGAACCAAATAGGAAAAAGTTACTCGTATGAAACAATTGTAAGGCAAGTATGAATTCGAATTTTGCATATTTTTCTCTCTAAATCTTCATAATACTTCACAATATATATATATATATATATATATAGTGCAGCGAAAACACATCTAACCATTATTCATGAGATAGTTTGTTTCTGTTGCAAAAATATTCAAATGAAATTCTGCTAAGTGACTGCTGTCATTTCTGAGTCGACGAGTCTCGGTTCATCCATAATTCATTCGTTTTTATAGTTATGGAGTTATTTTCATTAACAAAAAACGTAACAATAACAGACGTGCAATGGCATGCCTATCCGGTTGGCTTTTTCCTATTGGTACTATGTCTATTAACTATATTTGGTAATCTTCTAATTATTTATGCTATCATTCGTGAACATACATTACATACATCTACCTATTATTATGTTGGATCGCTGGCATTTGCGGATCTTTTGGTTGGTTTAATAGCTATGCCGTTTGCATTTATATTCGAAATGACCGATGATGAGTATTGGCTGTTTCCACGACATCTAAGATTTCTATGTGACTTTTGGCATTCAATGGATATATTTGCAACAACAGCATCCATACTTGGCTTATGCACTATTGGATTAGATAGATACCTGTACATTACGAAGCCTATTGAATATCCGACTTCATTTATATCAAAGAAATGGTACTTTATGCTGTCATTTATATGGATAGTTTCGGCGTTCATATCATTTCCAGCAGTATTTCATTTTGGAACAGCACAAGAGATTGCGCGTATGTACACTAGACTTGAGAATTCAATCGTTTTGAGAACTGTAAATAATCATTGCAGAGTGACACAATTTCCATACGTTCAGATCACGCGTATTGATAAAAAATATTATTTCATTTAGGACGATCACTGTCGTCAAACGAAACAATAACACCAGCTTGGCTACTATTTAAAGAATGTGAATTTCCAGATAATCCATATTATATATTATTCATATCGGTTGTATCTTGTTATCTACCATTGATCATCATGATTTACGTTTACATTCAAGTGTATTTAGCTGCCAAAAAACAAGTACAAGCACTTCGTTCGGGTTACAAACATCACTATTTGAGAAAATCCGCCAAATCGTTTATTCCAGTGTTTCGTTTGAGAGAACCTCCGACGAGACGAAGTGCCAGCATGCAAAGAGCAGTTCGAATTCCTGAGAGTAGCGCACGAAAATTATCATTTACATTATTACCCAATCGTAGGCCGTCATTTGAATTGATCACACTTCGTATTCATCATGGTAAATATCGAAATCCAACTACTGATCATTGCCAACGAAGTAGTCGTATCGAAAATCGATCTATTCAGAAAGCTACAAAAAAATCCGAACGAACAAGTAATCTTTGGAGAAAAATTTCAAAAAATCAAAAAGCAGCTAAATTCATAGGCATTATTATGGGTGTGTTTGTTGTTTGTTGGCTGCCCTATTTTATTTATCTGATATTTAGCGGCGTCTTTGGTATTCGTTTAAAAGATGATCTAAATCATGAACTATTATTCAAAATATTTTCATGGCTTGGATACACGAATTCATTGTTGGATGTTCTTGTTTACGTTTCTACGTCGAAAGAACTAAGAGTTACGTTGTGTAAATTAGTTTTAGATCATCGATACAGACCAAAATACAATTACCCATAATTTTATCTTTTTGTTATTCACATGTAATAATTTCAATAATAAATGTTTGCTGAAGAATTGTTCTCTTCAATCTCTGTATTAGTCGAACATTTTCCAAAATCGATGGAGGATTTCATAAGTCCTGCATTACTGAATATTTTCAATTTATTATTTTTTTCGTTCGGTTACTATCTGGACAACATTTCAAAAATGCGCACTTAACAATTATCAGTTACCTAGTGCAAAAAAAATTCGAAATAGGTTCATTGGTAGAGACGGTTTTCGAAAATAGAAATAGATTTAATTAAAAAAAAGCGAAAATTTAGTTTTCAGTATCTTTCAATGCAACTGCAGGCGTGTCATAGTAAGCCATTTTCTGCTTCTTTTCATCATAGTAACCAATTTTGTCCGATGTTGTATTCGTTAGTATATCACGACATTGACTAAGTTCATCAATGGCCATTGATAAACGTTCAATGACTTGATCATTGGTTGGCCATCCATGACCGCCTACAGCAAGATCTAGTATTTTCGCATTGGCACGCCATGTCTTATGAAGGGTATATTCTAATGCAGCTGGTTTCTCGTGACGAAATGTATCGTAGCGTGTCGATTCAGCAGCGAACGGATTCGTTGACATGTATGAATTGACCACCGTGATACGTGGTTCGGTACAAGAATGAATGCCTTTTACTCGGTGTACAATACGACTTCCTAGAGAATATTCCAATTTTTAAATGAAATACATTCGCAAATGTTGTCCCTTACCTTGCATGAACACGCAAGAATTTTGACCGAGGTAATCAATAGTTCGAATGTATTCGTTTGGCACTTGACCTTTGTATTGCTCAATAAGATTTAGAGCATCTTTAGGATCACGTTCGATCAGTTGTAATTCACCTCCGACTGTATTGGCCATGTCACAAGCTAAGAGGATTAGAACGTACGGTACACTATCACAATGATACGAATCAATGTTGGGTCCACCTGCGTAACCTATATTGACATGGCTGTAGCTTGATTGAAGAGTGGTCGGCAAAAGACGTATATCCCCAGTAAGATTTGATAAATGTTCGAGTATGCGTGGACATCGATTGAAATCTTGTATCCATTTACTACGATATCCACTCAATCGAATCATAGCCGGATGACGATCATCACATTGTCGATGAGCCATTTCTCGTTCAAGAATCATACGTAAAACTCGATAGCCTTCATCACTTAACAATCGAAATGGACCAGTATAAGCCAATTGACTGTCGCCATTGGTCGCAACAGGTTGACAAAGTTGTGGTGCTTTGGGCACATGTTGAAAGCCATCGCGTAATACGATAAAGTCGGGTTCAGTCATTGACAAATGAATATCGGGATCAAACACAGGCTCATCAGTGTATAGTTCTATTTCTGGATCATTTAAAAGCGGAGGAATTGGAACAGGGCAACTCTTGTCGAAATTCATGTTTTTCTTTTGAAGAGATAAACAAGTTTTACTTGCTTGTCACACGTAAATTTGAAAAGAAAGATGTGACTGGCTAAAATAAAAGCAATGACAGGAGAATCAGTTTGATAAGAAGAAAAGATAAGATTACAAAGACAATTTGAAAGTTTGCCGCTCTCTATTTCGTTCTAGCTTGAACGAAAACATGTAGTCTATTTTTTTCAGATGATTTAATAAAGTGTAAATAAAGAAAGGAATCGAACAAGTGACACTTCTATACAATATTCACTCGCCTCATCCACAATTGTGCTTTTTTTATTGTGTAGAAACACCAAAAATAAAGAAATCGATATATGTATGTTCGATGATTCATAAAATCGATTGTGGCGTTACTAAAAGCATACATACCAAAAAGACAAAATAAAATGAATGATGCTGCGTTTGAGATTACTATCAATTATTTTTCTTCATTTTATTATTAAAGAATATTTTGCACCATTTTGTGTTGTTGTTTTCGGTTCAAATGATGTGACTAAGGAGTGCAGAGCTGAGACCAAGATCGATTACTAATTAAAAATAACAATTGTTGCTCTGCTTTTTTGCCTTTTTACACCCTCTCATCATTTACTAGAAGTTCGAAGAGTTATAATTCTAATCCAGCAGAGCACAGGCGTGCTCTTATCTGATTGTTACCAGAGTTATTTTAATCGTGTACAAGACAGCTGGTTAGAAAGTAGATTATTCAGATACGTAGATACGATAGTAATCATATTATACCTTAGGCTCAGTTACATGCGCTTTTCATTTTTGCTTCTTCCTACCACACAGTAGTCGAGCCGGCAAAAAAGTAAATATCCCAGATGAACATTGTCGACGTCAAGAATATTCGATGACGTAGAGGTCTGTTTTTTAAAGACGTATTACAAGGAGTTTGATTATTTACCGGATGTAGTTTTTCTTAAAATTCACATCTTGGATTTATTAAATGTAATCGATTATAGTTATGTTTTATCATGCAAGTTCTACTGTTTTCTATACGATATTAATCTTCATTCAACAGTCATTCGTAATTACGGGTCTCGTGTTAGAATACATTATCATTTTACCTGTTGAAATAAATCAACCTATGCCACAAAAAAAACGCTGCATTGACTATTTGATACGTTTTCCCCTCACCGAAATCACAGTATTGATATTTGATAGTGTTTGCACTTTTCACATTTTGTGTACCGACCAATGTCAGATTCTAATTGGCTGAGTCCGTTGATAATAGGCAGCTTTTTTAATATTAATTCAATGATAAATCATATTGCATTTTACATTTAAAATAATTTTCAAATACGATGCATCGATCGGGAGAAATACTGAATAAAATCTATGCGGACATACTTGAAAACAGGCGCGCGTTCAAGAAAATTATTAATCTAGATAAGATCAAAATCGATGTTTTTTTTTTGTTTTAAAATGGGATTAAAAAACTTTGATAATTATTTCTAAGAATATCCTCCTATGTTCTTTTGCGGTGAGAGTCATGCATAATGAATTTATTTTCATGTATGCCCGGAATATTTGCTGTTCCATGAATTTTCACAGAACTTTCTTCATAATCGATGAGATTTTTCATAGTCTGATTTTCGTAGTTCATTTATTACCCACATCATAGCTTGCATAATTGTTTCAATGAGGATGATATATTAAGATTTGTACAGAAATAAACTACGCCCGAGATTAAGCTCTCACAATTGCAATTTTATAGTTAAAATATAGAAGTGCTCTTCACCTATTTGTGCTCCTCCTTTGCAGGTTCCACTAACTGAGTTATAATTTAAAAACTCTTTCTTTACCCTACAGTAATTTTACAAGTTTGACGTCAATCAGTTTACATTATTATACTTATTTAATGTGGTTATTAGATATTCAATTCTATTTCAATGATATTACGTCAAGAAAATAAAGATCCTACGCACATCAAACACCACCAACTAAGAAAAAGATATATATATATATATATATATAAGAGTAAATTATAAAATTATTTTACTAGTTTGAGAAATAAGAAAACAGCAACTTGACATTCGATTTTTATATTGTGATCAACAACTGAGACTATAACTTTTATAAATCTAATTTCCAGACGTATTCATTCGGAGTCATTTGCGAAGAAGATAAGAACTAAAGCATTATTCAACATGCCAGTGTCAATTTTCACTCTTCGGTATTATATACTTCGTTATCATCATCATCATCATCATCGTCATCATCATCATCATCTTCTAGCATGACACTTCCGTTATAAAAAATTTCGCATGACAAATCGATCTTATTTTCTTTTCTTTTTATCATGAAATACGAGTTTTTTAATGATAATATTTTGTTTTCAACGGTAGCTTATCATCAATAGGATCAAAGGTGTTTGCCACCCTCGAGCAACCTTAAGAGAGTTATGATAAGTTAAGAAAAATGAACGATGAAGCTGTCAAAGTTTAGATTGATTCATTTAATATATTAGAATATATATATATATATATTATCATTTCTCGTATTGAACTATTATTCTATGCATTTATTAACCGAGCGTTTGTTCAAACCGTGTTATTACAATAGATGGCAGCAAAAATCGCTATATTAACCCTCATTTATTCTCAGTATCGTGCATGAGATGAAGTCCTGACTTTTTCTATATTAGCAAAAAGTAATGAAAATATTCAATCTGAAATTAAACTAGCAAAAGCTGTATATTTTTCTATTAGAATAGGACACGATTCAATACATTTGTAAATTTTTCGTATATTGACATAAAAAAATTTAAATGATCTGTTGGACTCGCTATTTGCGCTTGAAACTAAGTAGTTACTTTTATATTTGATATTTAAAACAAGCTCATTCAATTTCAAACGTTTCAATCATAGAGCAAACGTGCGTAGGTCGTTCTTTGCTCGAACGTCAATTTTTTTTTCTTTCTTTTCTTCTTCACGTTCTGTTTAAAAAAAAAAGAAAGGGGTAAGAGCATAGTTGCTTTTTTTTTCTTCTTTCTGCTATCGTTACTTTTTCAAAGCTCTACTGCGTCGAAGTTTTTTCCCTGAGCCAAAAAACAACTTCTTTCTTTCTTTCTTTCTTGCTTGTCCGAGTGAGAAAACATGCGAACTGCTCCCTAATTCTGTTGGGTAATAAATCAAATTTGAAATATTATTTAGTTCTAGATTGGTGTTTGCTCTTTTTTCCTCTCGCTTTTTATTTTCCTCATCATTCAAGACGTCTAAAACGGCGAGGAAAAAAAACTCGACGGAGAAAAAAGTAACATCACTGAAGCTGAACACATCGTGCGTGCATATATGAAAAGCACTACCATGTTTTTCTATTAACTGACGATTTGTTTTATACTAATATTCAGATGTTAATATTATTATTTTGATATACATACAACAACACTAAAGAATTCAACTATGTCATCGAAATCGAATAAAAAAGAAGAATTACCTCAAGCAAACTCAGTTTCACAACAACTTGCTCGGCAATTAGAAGCAACTGCTGAATGTGAGTATTCAAGTTTCGTTGTCTGTTACTAGTGTTTTTTTCTTCTCGTGCCAAAGAATTCTGCAATACGTAATTAAATTCTATGCATCAGTTAGCAATATGACATATTCTTTCGTCGGAATATTATTTGAATACATTATTAAAAACATATAGTCGTGATTAGTTGTTTTTGAAAGATTTCATTATTTGATGAAAACATTTTTGTTTTCTGAAATGTTCTTTGCATTGTGAATGACTTCTTCTGACACGAGAATGAAAATTGATTGGCTGCAATGCATGTTTCTTGAAAAGAAATCTTATAATTATCTATTTAATTGAGAAAAAAAGAAGCTCGTAAAAATTCTATTTTACTAAACAAGGTTTATTTTAATTTTCTAGCTGAAGAAGAAGAAATTACAGTCAATGCTTCAGCTTTAAGTCTTGGCATACGTGCTCAAAAAAAACTACTAAGGTAGGTCATCACCTCAATCAAAAATATGAATATTTCTATTATTTTGTTTTAGCAAATTATCTTCAAAATCTGTAGCTAAAATCTTTATCGATGAGACCAGTGGCCGTATACTAGACAATATACATCGATTAGCACGAAACTATTCCGGAAAGAAAGATGCTGACAAATTGCTTAAATCAATAATAAAAACAATTGTTAAAATGGGAATTTTATATAAAAATGATTTATTTACTGAACATGAAATAAAATTAATCGATGAATTTCGCAATCGTTTTCATTCATTAGCAAAATCTATTGTAACATTATATGAAGTAGATTTTAAATTCGATCGATCTATTTTAACACGTATGTGTCAAGAATGTCAAGAGTTAACTCATAAAATCGTCTCAACACATTTAACACCAAAGTCTCATGCTCGAATCGATTATGTCTTTAATTATGCGTCAAATATACAATTTCTTGAATATTCATTTAATCCAAATTCAACAACAAATCGTGCAATTATTAAAGAAATCATTGAAGATATGCATACTCTTATGGATGCTGGCTTTCTTTAATTGAATATGAACCACAAAAAACACACAAACACTCTTTGTATTTATATCACAGATTTTTTTCCTGATTTCTTTTTATTTAAAAATAAATATTAAAATCTATCTGAAGTAACGGAAGTCGATGATAAACGTTTTAGAATAGCAGTGAGTGCTAATAAATCACGAAAATCCAATCGACCATTGTGATTGGTGTCAATAATATCGAATATGGCACGTGCTAAATGTTTACTAACAAAACCGAGGCCTATTTCTTTGAGAAGAATTTCGACATCTTCCACTGTTATTTTACCATCACCATTTTTATCCAAGGATTTATACTAAAATAGAAAAAATAGAATGAGTATACTTTTTTTTTAAATATTTTACCATTTGAAATATTTGTTTAGCATTTTCTAGACGATTTTTTCCATCATTGCGTTTATCGAGTATTTGCTGAGCATTGTTTAAAAATCCACCGTTTCTTTCTGGCTCAACTGAACGTTTTTCTGAGTTATTTACAGGAATATAATTTTCGTCATTGCTCATTTGATGAACCTCACCGATATAACTATGAACATCATTGATACCAGCATTTCGAAACATTTGCGCAAGTATTCCATTTTGAATATCGTTAGGACTGAAATCTCGTAGTTGATCCATGTGGAATCTGTTAATCTATTTGTGTCTGATAAATTCTCGAACGAATGACGCTGGTTAATATACTCTCAGATTCTTTGAGAAGAAAGAAAGTGGGTGGCGATTATGAAGATAGGTGATTATGCTAGCGATGCATCTACTGCTAATGACGTCATTGGCAGAACGCATAGACGTACAGGTGAATAATTCTCTGATGCATAGTGACTCAAATTTCAAGTAAATAAAAATTGATCATGAATGAGACATACTGTATATTCAGAGGTGTGTTGCAGCTCATGTTTCCTTAAGACATTTACGACACTCAATGAAAGCATTGCCGTAAAACTCAGCAGCGAAATACTATACTTTTCAAATTGATTATTTTGATAACAGAACACGTGTTTCAACACTGATTAGAATTTTATAACATCGAACAGGAACGAACAAAAAATGTTCGCGTTAATAGGACATGATTTGTGCTATTGTGCATGAGCATCATTATCACATTTATCTCATTGTGGTGAAAAATAGATGCCAGTCGTTCGGTAAACAAACCAGATAGCACGTTCATCAAAATATGAATAGGAACATTCGGAAATATTTATTAAAAGTTACAAGTATGACACCCCTCGATTGGTCGAATGTAACGAAAACTGGAACATTCATTCAACACACATTCGGTAAGTCATTTTCAGAATAGAAAAAACAAAGAAAGATTATATTAAGCATATCTAATAAGGTGCGTTACCTTTAATTGGCTCAATAAATGATGCCGGCGTGTTATCGGTCACTTCAAAAAGTTCCAGTTCAAAATCATGTACGTTACCATCGCTAACATCAACGAAACGTAAGTACCATCATGAAAAAATTGCAAGAAAACAAATGTTGTTAAACGCTTTATTTATTTAGATTCTCGATTATCAACGCCATCACTTTCCTCAAGCGATGGTAAAGGTAAACGTGCATTATCATTTTCTCCGATGTCTGATAATATATTAATACAATCGCAACAACAATCCATGGAAATAAATCTTATTTCAACTGTTCAACGTTCCGATTATCTTCCGCCTAGAGTAATGATGATATTTTTCTTTTGCACTCACATCTTTAACTGTAGGCAAATGTATTTTACCAAGGTTCTCGCGCCATTAATCGAACCGAATGAAATTCAATGTCAATGGTCCGGCTGTGATCTGCTATTTTCAACACCAATTCAATTAACAGAAGTACGAAATATTAATAAGTAAAAAAGATCGCCATAGTTTCTTTTTTCTCAAGCATATCCGATCTGTTCATATTAATCGGACTGATTCTCGTACATGGTTATGTCAATGGCAATCATGTACACGCAGTCGAATACCATTTAAATCTCTTTATTCATTATTTCTTCATTTGCGAACACATACACAAGATCGACCATTTCAATGTTCACATATGGGGTGTGCAAAAACATTTACACGAGCAGAATATTTACGTTTACATGAACGCTCCCATACAGGTTCTTGATTTTAATTGTATTTTCGAATAGATTTTTGTTTTTCTTTATAGGTGAAAAACCATATCCATGTGAATATGCAGATTGTTCTAAAGCATTTAGTAATCCGTCCGATCGAACTAAACATATGAAACGAACACATTTAAATAAAGTTTGAATCTTTTTTTTTCAATAAGTCTAAAAACAGAAAGAAAATTTCGTTTTTCTAGAAAGAATATGTATGTCAAATTGTAGGATGTGGTAAATCCTATACAGATCCAAGTTCATTAAGAAAACATGTAAAAACTATTCATGGTGAAGATGCATTTCGACAAAAGAAGCATAAACGTACGGATGATAATAATGAAAAACAATGTGACGAGACAAAGACGAATATTTCGAATACAATTTTGATTTCAAACGCTAGTCAATGTTCTTTTTTTTAAATTTTTAACCGTCAGTTTTCTTTTTGTAGTTAACTTATTCAAGTGGATTCAGTAATCAATCGAATATTCGTATTGAAAATAATAATGATGACGATGATGATGAAGATGTGATTGTCGATAATGGAGTTTCATTAAATGTTGATGTACGATAAATGTTATTTTTTAAAATTTTTATAATCGTCTTTTTGTTTAGATTTTGGAACATAATTTAGGAGAATTATCAATGGGTACTACAACTGTTTTACCCATTCACCGAGCACCCATCATGAATTCTTTAAAACACATTACACAAAAGGCTATTCTACCAGCAATACATATTACGGGCGTTTGCGAAACTGAGGGTGATGAAAATTTTTCAAATAAAGGTAAACTAATGAATTCTAATATATTGATAGTTTATATTTGAAATTATATGATTTTTCTACCTGAAATTCTCAAAGCTAGTTTTTAGAACCACCCTATTGCTTTATTTCTACAGGTCAACAAAATCAAGTTGCATTTCGTTCAATTCATCATCATCATCGTATGAGTGCTCAATCTGGTAGTACTGCATATAGTAGTATGAGAAGTGATTCAATGAATGTTGATAGTGCCCTTTTTCTTCCAAGTAATCATTCAAGTATGGTATGTATTTTGTTTTTCCGTTCTTTTCTTTTTTTTTATTACGAATGAATCACAAAAACAGATGTCCTTCGCTCAACATCCCAGTGCATCGCCCTATGAGTATGATTGTATATCAAACGATAATATCAAGTAAATTCATTTTTCAATAAAAAACAGAATCGATGTTGCTTTTTTATTCTAAATAGATATGAAATACGAAGTAGTAATGCATTAACCATTCCATCTATTCAAACTTCTCTTGTTTGTTTTTACTTTCTTATAAAAAAATATGCTATTGTTTATTTTTTGTATTAGAGTCCACTGCGTCGTTCCCATGGAAGTTCTGAACAACTTCTTACATTACCACGTATGAATTCAACAACAAGTCATTTAAGTTCAATACTAACCAATGAATTATCGCCATCGACTAGTTTTTGTGTTAGTACATTGTCAGGTGATACTCAACAAATACCAACATCAAATTCAAATCCTAAAATGGCACATTTACTCTATTTTCTTCAAACACTTGAATATAATCCACACTTAGATAATGAAGATGTTTAAACAGATTTGTTCACATTTTAAAAATAAAAAGTTAGCTAATCAATATGAATTGAATTCATGGTCTTGATCTATGCAGATATAGTCGGAATAATGATCTTGAGGGTGTGGGTGTGGGCAGTAGCGTAAATAGGTGGGGGGGAGGGGGCGTAACGCCCCCAGCGTTCGAAAAGTAATAGGAAAAGAGCTGTTTACGCCCCGCCCCCCCCTGCTCTGAGACATGACTTACGCCCCTGGGTGTGGGTGCACCTCTTCTCTGAAATCACACCCTACACCCCACACCCAACTATTTCTAAGCAGCAGAAATTCTTCTATTGATTTCTGTATGTTGACGCCTCACTTATGCTCTGTTTTTTATTGTTACTGAAGGAGTACTTACGACAAATTTCAAGGTTTTTTTCCCTTTCTTTTTCTCTCTCTGAATCTATCGAAAAAGAATGAAAAAAGAACCATCTAGAAGTAATTGTCAACAAAAAAAATTCACTTCACTTACCAGATAGTCAAAACGTGCGCAGAAAAAGCACAATCAGCTTTTATTTTGTCTTCGGCACACTATTCGCAGGTAAGCAAGAGTAAAATTTCCAAGTAAAACGTTTCGTATCAATTCAATTGAAAATATAGCAGCGTTTTACACATCTATTATATATATATATATATAAGAATAGGTCATTAGATTCTAATAAAATGCAACCTATTCCGCGATGTTGAATATTCCGGAACGAGTGCCTACGAATTCCTAGGAATTCAGAGATTTTCAGGACTCTGGTCGAACTGAAATCGTATCGAACTCCATACGATACCGTAGTTAAAGGTTAACTGTGTTATGATAATTTTTCGGATGACGGCGCTCAAAGCAGGAAGAATATCCATTGCTAAATCAAACCGCACCTCCTTAGAATGATGCTCGGATTGACAAGCTAAGATCCCCACCCACATTTTTTGGCAAAACGCACACTGATACCCTAGGGTGTGGGTGTGGGTAGGGATGCGCCGAACCCCGGTACAAACCGGGTCAGTACTACCCGGGTTCGGTCATACCGGGTACGCGGTACTACTCGGGCTTCATTATACCCAGATTCGGTACTGGGATTTGCTGGTCTACTTATTCATATCCTTCGAAGCATAGAAATGAATAATAAATAGCACCTATGGATATATAGTAGGAGATAAAAGATGAATTCATGCCAAAGATTCTTTACCTTGCTCAACCTATCATAGTTGATCTCATTTATCAGGAACGGTTACAGTCAAATGAGCTTCTCTTAATATTTATTTTGGACTCAACTACAAGAAATCGTCGAATGGTTCTCCTTATTAAGTTTTCCGGAAATGCCGATGTATGATTTTTTCCATCGGTCTACTAACAATATCAATACTAATAGTGCTAATATTGCTATCAAAAATACTAAATTGTATTGGTATAGGTAGTATTCGAATCCTCACATCCCTACTTAGACTATCAGAAGGATTATTTCAATAATGAGAACCATTCGACAATTTCCTGTAGCTGAGTCCAAGAGAAATATTCATAAAAGCTCATTTAATTGTATACTTTCTTGATAAATAAGGTTATCTATGATAGATTGAGAAAAAGACCATAGACCGTTGAAATAAAATCATTTATTATTATCGATCTATAGGTACTATTTGTTATTCATTTATATACTTCGAAGGATACGAATAAGTAGAACCTCGAATTTCAGTACCGAATCTGGGAAGGATGAAACCCGGGTACGACCGAATACCGGGTACGACCGAACCCGGGTAGCTCGGGTTCGGTGCATGACTACTTATGAGGTCTCTGTCACAGTCTGTGATAGTTTCTAGAGACTCCATATATCATAATACAGACCATAACAGAGAAGCTCCACAGATCATTAGTGGCCGTGATAGACGAACTCCAGAAAAGAAGTCTCATCGTGTTTCACATTTTAATCCCACAGAGATTGCGCTAACAGCTTTTTTTCTTTATAATCTTCTCTTCTTCAACTCATAAGATGACTTTTTGCTTGGTAGAGATGTAAGCACCTATGGACATCGACTCTTCTTTTTAAGATAAAATAGGTGTGCAGAGTTGAGATTTTCCTTTTAGGACAATTTATTTGTTCTATCTTAAAATACTCGGGACCAAGATATTTTAAGTTTTCCGACACGCAATTTTCGTATTCTGTTGAAAAGCGCATGAAAATTATGGGAGATCTGAAGGAATCTAACTTGAAAGAAACATTCAAGATACAGTGGTGTTTGAGTACATAAAATATTGTTATTGTTGATATATAGGATGCGTAAGTAATCAAGCTTTAGTTGTTTGTCAGTTGTAGATAAAGAAAATTCAAAATAATTAATGTGCGCTGCAGTTTCGGATAGTTTTGAGCGAAGAAGAATTGCTTTGGTTATTGGAAACAATAAATACAAACAATCACCATTATATAACTGCGTTAACGATGCGAATGATTTAAGTAAAGCACTCAAAAGTATTGGTTTCTTAGTGACCTCCAAAACAGATCTCAACTGCGAAGAGATGGACAAAGAAATCGAGAACTTTCTCGAATCCATTCACCAAGGCGATCTCGTTCTCTTCTTCTTCTCAGGTCATGGTGTTCAACGTGATGAACAAAACTATCTAATTCCATGTGATAACGATCGTATTCTAGGCCCAAGCGACTTTAAACATCGTGCCATCAATGCACAAAGGTTTCTAGATCTTATGTCTGACAAGAATCCTTTTGTGATTGTCTATTTACTTGACTGTTGCCGCACTGATATGCTACCCAATATGACCAAGGCTAAAGCTTCGTACGCGTCATCCACTGGATTGGCGGCAATGTCAGCGAAGGCTGGTACTTTGATCGCATTTGCTTGCGCCTCTGGTACAGTTGCAACTGATAGAGCGAAAAATGGACGTAATGGGATGTTTACCTATCATTTACTACAAAACATTACTAGACCAGAAGAAGAGATCACGCTGCTGCTCATAGACGTAGCCGATGGAGTAGCAAAGGATACAAACGAAAGGCAAATACCGTACACAACATCTGCTTTGAGACAACGCGGCATTCATTTGGCAACACGTCAGAAGAAAGCGACGCAGCCAATCAGTGAGTTTCATAACGCTTCAGAATCGATTAATATTCCTGTGTCGTAGTGCGAGTGCTGTTCTATTCATCTTGTATTGATAAATCGAAGTAGAGTGAAGAGTAACACCCTCTGCAAGGTCCTATTATCCATAATTCGTGTAAAGTATTTTCTCATACGGTTGCATCCATATCGATTTATTTGAAATTATTGAATCTCATTTTAATCACAGCTAAAAAATACAGGCAGGTGTATCAGTTGAGATAGCTACGTCGAGGAAAGTAACCGCAAGATGTGTTCTGCTCGCTTAGAAGCATAGAATGGGTATGAATTAAATAAAAGTACGCCAGTTGACCAAAACGCTGCTAGAAAATGCAGTGTGAGATGGATTCTCGTTTTTAAAACTGACTAATGATATCTATACCTATGATTCTAACATGACATAGAAAACAAGACTAACTTCACTTTAACACTACCATTCTTCCGTTTTTATTATATACTTGGTTTCGAGCTAGATAACGAACTTACATAAAAAAAAAAAACTTCGTCCTTGCTAAGCCCTGGAATAGATGTGGGGGTTCATAGCTGAAAAGTTGACTGAAACCACTGAAAATAAGTTAGATGTACTCAGGATAACACTGCCAATATCTGTTTTGATACAACTAGTGTCTCACCTGCACCCCACAACCTCGAGAGTTTGAGCAGTAAGCTTGTTGTTCATATCAATTAGAAAATAGTCCATTAGTTACACTTTTTATGGAATATCAGTTATGAAATAATTACTCTATTAATCGTATTCCTAAACGTTTCACATCTCTGGGACCCAGAATCAAAGAAGCCGGCTTATCAATTGAAATTATTTGTAATTGTGTCGATCATGCTTTTGATTGAAACAAGATACCTGAGGATTATTTTCCCTAAAAAGCGATGCGATGAAGTAATTAGATTGCTGTTTCATAGGACCTAGAAGCACGTGTCATGGCGATGACAGGCAATATTTTAAGTGAATATACTGTTTTTGACATACAAAAATAATGATATAGAGCAATATGTGTAATTAGATCTCATCAGATTAATAGCTATGTTCTGCCCAGAAGATAGAAAAAGTAAAAAAAATTACGTAAAAAAAATGAGAATGTTTGATTTGAAACTTTATTTGCTTTTCGAATGTCATTAAAAATCGATTTTTGAAGTTGGCGTGAACTGATATTGTTCTCTGAGTTTATATCAACTCATAAGCGGACCAACGCCCAATAGAAAAGCTGGGCTTTTATTACTACTTACATTAACTCGTTTACATTACGATGAGACTGTATTCTCTGCATTTAGATTATCAAGAGCCAAGTTACTCGATAGGCAGTGCTTCTGCTGTGCCGAAGAGTACAACAACACCATTCAAGGCATTGCCAAAACCTGGACGTGCGCCAAAAGCAGGTATGTCTCTTTTAATAAATTAGTTTTTTCTTTGGAAATCCCTCTATGAGTTCTATAATACAGTTATTACTATATGATGGAATATTTCTATCTATCTTTCATCAATCATCATCAGAATTAAATAGTACCGTAATTAGTGGCACATTATCTTTCAATTCTCATCTAATTTCATATTGTATTGAGCAATGATCCTGTTTATGATGTTTTGATACACTTTTGACAGTAGCAGAGCCCTAGAGAGCCATTGCTGCACTTACATTCGAGGCAAAAGGACTCACGGAAGCTAGAAGATTTTCACCTCTAAAATATGCATGTATTAGAAATTATTTTCTATCCAAAAATATCTTCGGCGGGCACAACACCTACACTGTAAAAAAAAAGAGTAGAATAATAAACCCTTGTCCTTTCTACAAATCATGCTAAACCTTTGAAGGGTTTATGACAACGCCATAAACCCTTAAAGGGTTTATGAAACGAAGGGTATATGAAAAAAAAATGATACAAGAACAAAAAGGGTTTATTAATCTGAGATTTAAGGAGAAGGGTATATGATTTTATCTTCAAGGGTATTTTAATATGTGGTTTCAATAAAAGGGTTTATTACTTTCGTACTAAGGGTATTTTATTCTACGGTCTCGAGAAAAGGGTTTATTACTTACTTAAAAAGGGTATTTTATTCTACGGTGAGGGATTTACGGGGATTTATTGTTCTACTCCATCATCAAAAGGGTTTTTTATTCTTCGTTCAAAGGATTACACTTTTTCAACTGATATATATATATACCATGAAAATTTCTCACAGGACACTTCAAACAATTTGATATAATAAACATGTTAATACAATCATTTTCTCACAACGCTGCCATTCATGCATCGATGCACTTTTCATTTCGTACCTGTTTCGTAAAACATAACGGTATGATAAAGAGGCGCTAATTTCTCTAATAAATTTTGAATCATTTCGAGCTAAACTTATACTTATAAAGGTTTTTAAAATAGATCAACAATTTTATAAAAGTATTAGAAATATATACGTTATAGATTTCTAAAAAAATAAGAAATGTGTTAGAAAATTTTTGAGAAAATGGAGCAAAACGTTTTAGAATCTTTTTAAAAATCTTTTTGAGGAAATATATTTCAAAAACAAATTTTTCCTAATTTATTTAAATATGTAAAAAAATAATTTTTATTTTCAAAGAAATAATTTTTTAAATGCAAAATATTTTTTGCATATTTTTATGGCAATTAAAAATGTAATAACAATTGTTCCGCTTAACTTTATATCATCTTCAGTTTCCTATCAAGTTTCGTTTGATTTAAGTAGCATTTCTTACTTCATATTGATATCATGCGACTGACTGAATGGATAACATCTTGGACTATCAACCAATACATCCCTAGATCGAACCTAGGACAACGCAGTAAGTTCCAAAATTTTAATCGGATCGATAAATTACAAAAAATACGTTGTGATGCGCATTGTAAACACAAACGAAAAAGAATCATAGTCTACTCATTTGTTTTTGGATTCTTTTTCTGAAAGATTGTTAACGCGTTTTTTAAGGGGCTTGTCTGAATGGAAATTGTAATAAACCCTTAGAAGCATTTATGAAAGGGTATATGAAAATTAAATACCCTTATAAGGGTTTATGAAAGTGCAACGTAGACTAAACCCTTTTAGGGTTTATGAAAATCAAATACCCTTTCATAAACCCTTCTAAGGGTATATGAAAGGGATTAAGAAACTTTTCACATACGGTAAAAGGGTTTAGTCTACGTTGCACTTTCATAAACCCTTGAAGGGTTTATTATTCTACCCTTTTTTTTTACAGTGTGTGGAACACTAAACTCATGTCTGAAATCATTTAGAAAAAAAAGCTCGTCATACACATAATTCTTAAATTAGCTCGTTCTCTTATACAATATTAAATGATTCTACCATGTTTTGCATTTCTCTTTGAACCAGTATTTTATTTTTATAATTGAATTATATGATAATAAATGAGTAAACTGGCATTGTCGGAACTAGACATAGCAACAAAGTTCACAGTGACTGGCGCATAATGACATACATTATAATCCATCACCATGTCAGCATAATCGACTGAAAAATCTGCAGTATATCAGTTTATAGGAAAAATTATCAGGGCGCAGGGTAAAAAATTTTGCCCTGCCCTGTGACGGTCTCTGATATAGTCACCAAATATTTAAGAGTACTGTAAAAACATTAAAATGTTTGCGCGCTATATTTAATGAGTTGCAGTTTAAATAGCTACATAGCATTTTACACAGCTATAGTGAATGGTCAAATAGCTACACTGAATGATGAAATAGCTACAGTAAACATTAAATAGCTGTGAGAGAATTAAATAGCTACAGAAGCGAGAAAGTAGGTAAGGAGTACCATGAATAGCTACAGTGAAGATCAAATAGCTAAGGTGCACACAATGCAAAATTCGAGTAAAATTTAATTTTCGCTTTTTAATACATCTTTCGATAGAGCAACTCCACCACAGAGACCGCAATCCAGCGGCTTCTGTGCCGGTCGCAAGTCCGGGTAAAGGAGGAGTGTTGGGCGGAAGGGGTGCAGATACCGCCGTCTGTAAAAAGAACAAGAAGACGACAGAAACCAACCATGAACGACTTCAACACGAAACCATACCGGCTCGGACGGCGCCCGGATGAACAAGGTCCGCGTCCTCTGCCGAGTGACCAGGGCAGAGTCGAAAAATTGGCGACTGGAAAGAACTCATGTACGATAAAACACACACAAAAACTGAAACCTGCCAAAAATACTCTGACAGTAGGAACAAGGAATGTACAAACACTATGGACTGCTGGCAAGCTAGAATTACTTAGAAACGAAATGAAACGTTTCAGATACGACATAATTGGTATTTCGGAAGTGCGATGGACAGGAAAAGGTGAAACACAAAATGGAGATTTCATCTGGTCAGGAGAAGAATCCTCACACATGAGGGGTGTGGGGTTCTTACTAAGCACACAAGCTAAAAAGGCACTAATAGGATACAATCCAACCAGCTCACGAATAATT